CAGGTCAGCCGGGAATATCCTATCCCAGTGCAGTACCACCAGGAGTTCAACCAGGGCAGCCGGGAGCATCATATCCAGGAATTCAACCAGGTCAGCCGGGAATATCCTATCCCAGTGGAATACCACCAGGAGTTCAGCCAGGACAGCGGGGAATATTATATCCCAGCGGAGTACCACCACTCACTCAACCAGGACAACCAGGAATATCCTATCCTAGTGCAGTACCACCGGGAATTCAACCAGGACAGCCAGGAATATCCTATCCCAGTGGAGTACCATCAGGGATTCAACCAGGACAGCCGGGAATATACTATCCCAGTGAAATACCGCCACGAGTTCAACCAGGGCAGCCGGGAATATACTATCCCAGTGGAATACCACCGGGAGCTCAACCAGACCAGCCGGGACTATCCTATCCAGGTGGGGCAATACCAGGAGTTCAATTGGGACAGCCAGGGATATCCTATCCTAGTGGAGTACCGCCGGGTGTTCAACCGGGACAAACAGGAATAGCTTATCCCCCAGGATATGTTGGAGGTATAATAACAACACCGAATCAGCTTGGAACTCCAGGAGCACCACCCTCAAACATTGCATATATTCCGGGAGCAGCAGGTGCCTCGCCAGCAGGTGCGGGAGAGGATGATTCTCACGCCTCAAGTTCAGTAACACAAACCGACAACGGAACAGAGGCGAGTGCTTCTGCAGATGGTAGACTTGGTGCAGGAGTAGCACAGTCGAAAGTCAGTGGTATTTACACCGGCGCAGGATCGTTTTCCGCTCAAGCAGGTACAAGTGACGGGAAAAAAGGTGCCCAAACGCAAGTCTCTGGTGGTAAAGAAGGAGCAATGAGCAGTGCCCAAGGTACAGGAGGGCTTGGTAAGAGTCAGGCGCAAGTTCAACTCAACTCTGAAACGGGAGCGACATCAACGGACGCTCAAAGCGCTGGTTGGAATCACGGAACAAGTTCTCAAGTTCAGGCGAGTGAGAAAGGAGGACTGGCTGATGCCCAAGCCAATGGCGAGGGAAGCACTTCCAGTCAGGCGCAAATTGGCTTCCAGCCATATTCAGGCTCACGAGAGCAAGAGGAAACTCCCTCCAAGCCATTTAGAGGAGGGGGAACAGCCACTGCACAGAGTGGAACTTATCAAGGGCAATCCCAATCACAAATCCAAGGATCTTTTCAGTATGGAATCACTTACACTGGAGCCGCGCAAGCGGGATCAGGGTCAGGTGCTGCTACTTCTAGAAAACCCTTCAATTTCAGTAATTCGGATCCGAACCTTTTTAAAAAAATTGAAAAGCCCGACCCTATTTCTATTTCGAAAGACAATTCACGGGCATCTACTCTTCCTCCTCCTCACCAATCTTCTCAATCTCAACCGGCTGGTTTAGCTGCGCCTTCTTCCGGGGAACAAGCCCTTAGAACATCCTCCTCATCTAGAAAAATAGTAATTGCAAAAACGATACCTCATATTGATGGCCCTGGTGAAAAATCCCGAGAAGAACCAATTTATAACCCCGACAATGAAGAATACGATGAGGACGAGTACGACGACGACGATCTAGATTATGATTCAACCACAACAAGAGTTCGAAGTGGAGGTGAAGGGTACAGACAAACTCAATTAATAAAAGTTGCAACCGCCAAAAAATATAATGTAAATGTGCATCAAGAATCTTCGAAATTACACGAGGGCAATATGATCGAACCTGGTGAAGCTCTTGCAGGGTACACTGTTCCTCCAGGGTTTAGAGCAAAGATAACATCAGTGTCAGGTGAAAGAACTCAGGCCCATAGTGGAAATTCTCAAGCACAAACTGTTTCCTTGACTCCGACAACACAATCATCGAAAAATATTGATTCCAGTTACAAAAATGGGCAGGACCCTTCAGGAAGCTATAACCGGACTACGCATGAGTATTCAAAACTTTTGAGTAAGTGGAACATTCCACATTTGAATCTTATAACTTCTTTAGGGTAAAGTGGAGCAACACAATTTTTTTAATATTCATAACTCAGACATAAATCGATAAATTCAATCTTAGCACGTTGCGAAGAAAGAGTAATTGTTCGATGCAACAATTACGTACCGTTAATTTGGCTGTTTTGTCTTTCAAAAGAGCAATGAAATAACGAGTAGACTACAAGTCCTTAGGCCTGTAATGTAATAAGTGATGAATGTATTGAATCTTGAAGTTGAAAGGTTTGAAGACAGAAATCGATAAGTTGAAAGCCAAAGATTGAATGCAAACAAAATACATAGAACAACAAAAAAATTCAACTATTTAAGAAAAAATCCGCCCTTGATATAGTTGACAGCTCAAGGTCTTTCACAAATTACACCAAGTACGGTTTCTTTCTTGAATAGTTGATTCGTCTGTTGTTTCTCGGTTCTATGTCTTGTTCTGTTTTTATTCAACTTTTGTTTTTCAATTCATCGATTTCTGTCTTCAACCCTTCCAACTTCACTCAGTACATTACAGCCTTAAGAACTTGTAGCATTCTCTTTATTTCATTAGTATTTTAAAAGACAAAACAGTTAACTTAAAGGTACGTACTTGTCCGTTGCTCTCGGAGGAACAAATATGACACGCACGCACTCGTTCGTGAGACAGAGAGACACTGCGTTGTACAACGACGCTGTACGCTCCTACAATCTAGCATCAATTTCTAGAGAACTAATCAACTTATAGAGATCATTCAAAGATCATGTAATTCATTATGGAATTCTGGATGATACGATATTAGAATATCTCGATAACTTTTCACTAGTTTTCGAGAAATTTGTTTCCAAATCTACGGTGCTGTGTAAATAACAGGCACAGCATCCAAAGCTTCACGGCTGTGTGCTATAAATTACCACGAGCTAAAGAACACTTTGCTGCACCTATATCGAAATATACTATTTTACCCGACAATATATGTACCTTGTTTAGAAAAACCTCTTTATACCCACTTTTTTAAAAATTGGTTACAAAGTAACTGACGACTAAATAAAATTAAGGCCCGCATGGACAGTCTATCGGATAGACTGTCCATGCGGGCCTTAATTTTATTATACTCTATCGAGCGTAATCTTTTGTTTCAATTTTATCTGGTTAGCTTAAAATATATAAAAATTTGGAATTAAATTTGTGTTGCGGGAACCACTCGAATAGTTATAAAAACATTGTGAAAAAAAAAGAGGAAAGATTATTGAAGGGCGCTACGCCGCGTTTACAGAAACAAATAATTAAAAATACGCAGTTTACCACTGCATTTAGCTGTCACTCAATCCACTGGAGACGAATGGCGAACTGTGTACTTTTTATTATTTGTTTGCAAACTTGGCATATGTCATTCTTTACTTATAAACTATAAGATGTTAAAATGTTAAAAAAAAAAAATTTCTTTCACTCGTATACCCTTTCGGGTTTTTACGATTTGTTCCCTTCCCACCCCCCATCCCCCTGTACCGCATTTGCTGAAAGGGAGGGAAAACCTCATCTGAGGGAAAAACCTGCTCTGGTACAGTCGTCCTTTTGACAGGACTACCGCTCGGCAGTGAAACCGTGAGATCAGAGCGCTATATATTTTTGACCGCCGGTGCCCGGGATCGAACCCGGATCCTTGGCATATACTAAAGTCAGCATAAGTTTTTCCTTCTCTGGGTACCCCCACTCCACGTAGTTACCACTTGTAACCATGTCCCCCACTCCTAAAATCAATATTAAAACTTATGCTGACTTCAGGATACTAGTCCAGCACTCTAACCGCACGGTTAAAATGTTATTTTCCCACCATTTTTCAATTATTCTCCTATGGAATAACAAGAAAATTAATGACAACCATTTCTTGTATAGAAACTGATTTCAAGAATGTTCGAAATTATGACGTTTTTGCGTATTAATATTAATATATTAATAAATGGTTCATGAATTTGTCTGGTGGTGCGATCATTTTCATATGTTTTTTCCACAGGTTTGTAATTATCTTCAAACGTTTAGAAAAAACACATAAAAATATTTGTACCACTTTGACGCTTCCTGATTTATTAAATAATGGCAATACATTAAAAAAATGTTTTTTCATCTGCAATTAATCGTAAATTTGCCAGAAAAATGAAAAAATGCAAATTTTTATGAAAAAGGGTACAGAACAATCCCTAAGAGACTATGTAATTTAGTGAACTAGGTATACATTATCAGAGTATGGAATGTCATTGGGTATTTTCTTCCGGTGAAGCATTTATGCATGGAAAAATTGAATGTTGCACTTTAGTGTAGCTGTTTATAGCTTTTATTTTATCCTAAGAAACAAATGGATAAAAATTTGATACTCTGATATTAGCTAACTATGGTAAGTTTCATAGCCTCCGTTATTTTCTCATAATTATTGAATTAATATTTTCAGGCACCAGTAATACTAGGAACATGAATCCAGTTCCGGCGAAGCCAAATTATGTAACAGTAACTAACAGTGTGGCTGGAAAAATGGATGACACACGCAGAAAATATGAGCATCGTTATTATACAAAGAGTTCCACCTGTGGTTATTTTACGTTCTCTTGCAATATTGTGCATGGTTCCAATGGCAGAACCAAAATTTGCAAGCCCAAAATGCCCACATACTCCGACGGAACACCCATGAAGTGCTGATCACAGTAGATTGAATATCACGCCATTACAATGGAATATTACCAACTCTGAATCTCATCCTTTATTGATGCACAGTACGCTTCATTGCACCCCTCTATGTCATTTCACATAATATTTACATATTTATAAATAAAAAATTTGAATTCTAAAATGTAATTTATTTGTTTGAATTTATCAACAGTACAAGCGACTGAGGGCTTTACAACTCCCTCTTTTCAACTTTAATTCACGGTAATTAATTTCCATTGGTTAGATACATCATATTCTTCGTCACAGTGTTTATTCGGATCATCAGTCTTCGATAAGGTACAATTTTTTTTATATATACAAATCACGAGCAGCGCATACTCGGCAGCGAAAATCAATTTTACAAATCACGAGAAAAACAATTTAAAAAGAAATAATAAAAACGTAACAAAAAATCAGGCATATTTGCTGTCGCTTAAGTCGGGAATGTTTAGTTTTTATTGTACTTGTGCTAAACGCGTTGCTTTTAATCTAAAAATTGAACAATATGGCGCATTAATATTAAAACCTCCCCAATACTATCAATTTATTAATTTATCAAAAGTTAAGAGTAATTCACCTGCTATCGATTCGTCATTCTCATCATCTCTATTTTGATGTGCCATCGTAGATATACCGTGAGGAACGCGTGATTCGGAGCTGAAAGAAAAAAATCATAAGTTCATTTGAATTAAATAATTAGTCAAATGCGTTGTGAAGTGGTAAAGTAGAATAAGTGCAGTTCTCTAAAAGTGCAGCGTTTGATAAAGATTTGATAACTAAAGGAAAATAACGATATTTTCATGAATATATTCATTGTAGCTCTCTTCTTCCTGCATGAAAAATGTGTAATAACGAGTCACTTATCATTATTTATACCATTGCACTGCAGAAATATTAATGATTTTTCAAAAATAGCCGAAATAGTCCTATGATTTTCGGAAAAAAAATTACCTATTTTTAAAATGTTCAATTTGAACATTAGCAGACTCCAACTTTTCAATGAGATCCTCGTTAGTCCTCTGAAGCCTCCTCACACTGCCGGAAGCCACATCAACCTCATCCTGGGCGACAGCCAGCTCCTTCTTGAGTTCATCGACCCTGAACCTCACCCTCTTAACTTCCGATTCATACTGCTCTGACCTCCTCATTGCATGTGTTAACTCGGTTGTCTTCTCACCCAGTCTTGTTTTAAGTTTTGAGTTCATGTATTTAAGGTCTACTAAATGCTGCTGCAGCTGTCTTACATCTGTATCGATAGTCGAACTGAGCCTCAACCTGCCCGGTTCTATTTTCTCTTGGCAATCTTTCAACTCACTCTTCAGCTGTTTATTTTCTCTCTCAAGAGACAACTTTTTCGATTCCAAACGCTCTCGTTTACCCCATTCTGAGGCATTCTCAGCTTGCAATCTCTCGAGCTCAGCCCTAAGCTCATTCATTCTCTGCTCCATACCGTCTCTGTTAGATGCTTCCTCCAAAAGGTCAGCTTGTGCTGACATTATTTCGATCTCATACTGATCCTTCATGCTGGTAAGCTCCCTAACAGCTTCAGCTCGACTCTCTTCAAGCTCTTTGCACCGTGCTCTCAATTGTCCAACTTCAGCCTTCAATTTCTCAATAGCTCGATGCAGAGATGTATTCTCATTTCTCTCGGCAGATATGGCTTTTGTCGTTTCTTCAAGTTCAAGATTCAGCATCATCATTGGCCTCTTCACTGATTCTTCCGGATCACTAGTCGATGGGGACTTCAATCGTTCCATTTGGGGATCTAATCTGCTGCTCTCTCTCATCAATTTAGTGATGTCTCTTTCAAGACTTACCAAGGATCCCTCTTTGTATAGTTCAACTGCGTGCTTTGGTACAGCCCCCTGAAGAATGTATTCCTCGATGTCTCGGTCAGTTCCCTGACCTTCTGAATCTATACATCCTTCAGTTTCCTCTCGAGGACTTCGAACAGTTATTTGTGTTGGCGAGTGGATCTTCGGCGACTTGTCTACGTTGTTATAGAGCTTAACGAGATCATCTATTCCCAGAGAATTGCGCAGCTGTGGGTCTGACTCGATTATGTCGACAATCTGCCTGTCGAATTGACCCGCATGCTTTAGTAGCACCATGTGAATTTTCTCCATTTCTTTTCGCAATTCTTCATTCTGCATTTCTAAGTCTTGGGACTCGTGCTTGTAACTATTAGCGTCCTTCACTGCTATCTCTAATTTTGTGCGAAGCAATTTGGCCTCTTCTCGGGCTTTGTTCCTTTCGTTTCGAACCTTGCTCCACTTCTCACGCCAGTTCGCTGTACAGTCTGACCACCATTTCATTGTTTTCTCCATTTGAGCTGCACGAGCTCGCGCCTCTTCCAACTCCCTTTGTCGCATCGCCTTCCACAAAATGAAAATAAGCATTTTTTTGTATTATATAAGTAAACTCTAATTACCTCTTTGGTTTCCCATTCACTGTCAGCATAGGCTAAACGAGAGTTTGGTGCACTTTCATGATCCTTTCCATACCTCCGTGAAGATGTTCCACTTGACGATGACTGGGCCATTGTTCTCGCCTCTTTCTATAACCTATCAAACTTTAAAAAACAACACAATTGTCATTTTAGACTTTATTCACTGCTATAATCTTGACTCAAGCTATTCAGTCTTACTGACTTTGATAATTTTGCTTCGAATAGTTTCAGGTGATAAACATCACTGCTGATTCATTGACCACTCACTTATGAATAACCGGTTATTCTCACCTATATACACAGTAACTTACATTTTTTTTAACATTAAGCATTCAATGATGTTTGCACATACGAAAATATTATTTAGCAACTTATTATTCGAACCACCTTTTCGCTGATAAACAATTGTGATGCTTGAAGGTTAAATTTGACAATTTTTGACACAGTACAGAAAATGGTGGTAAGATGGAATTCTGATTTATCCAATAAAATAGTTTCCGTGGTCGTTCAATAAATTTACAACAGATGGTGGTAAAGGATCTTTGACCAACAAATTGACGATTTTCGAAAATTAATATGTTGAATAAGTAAGAAACAATTTAGTCAATTTTAGGGATACATTTTTATAATTTTGCAACAAATAGTAACTACTTATAATTAAAAAAAGGATATTTAAGAATTTAATCTATTTTTATTGAATAATGAGTATGACCGAAGAAAATAAGACTCCATGGAGTTAATAGGTTTTTTGATTGTCAATAATTAACTATTTGCTCCTACATTATAAAAATGCTCTCTTGAAGTTGACCAAATGATTTCTCAATTATTCCCTTTAGAGTAGAGGATACGGCGTGCATAGGTTTATCGTCTTGTCTTTGTTTTTTTATTACTTCTTTCTACGTTATTATTCGGGCTAGTCACACAGATAACGAACGATTGTTCATGTGTTCATCGGCATTGTTACTTCTTTCTCTAAATGAGGAAAATAGCGGAGAAAAGTTATTAGTTGAGTTATTTTTTCTATGAGAATAAGGATGTAATTGTATTTTATCGCCTCCTGATTGAGCACGTAGAAATTCAAATACAGAATATCGTGTCATTATTCATGCAACAAATCTTAGGGAAATAAAGAATTAACAATACAATATTCACATCTTTTCCTTCGCAAGAGGAATTATTTTTAAAAGAAGATGCAAGATCCTTTATTTTTAAGGACAACTATTGTCTTTTTCGTGGTATGTGGTGAAAGAAAAAGGAGCATGGAAATGCTTTAAATCAAATAATGAAAAAATTATGAAAAAATGAAATTGTAAATCGCAAAACATTTTTTATAGTTTTCTATTTTTTATAAAACTTATAATATATGGGGTATTCTGGATGAACTCAACGACGTTCGAAACCCTACCCCGTTCAACTGTATTACCGATTTTTCCCATATTGTACACATCATTAGACGACTATTCATTTTTTTAAGATTTTTTGATAAAAAGAATTTTTTTTTTTTGATAAAACGGCAACACAAAACATGACGTGATTTTTTAAATAAAAAAAATGAAAAAAAAGGAGAAGAATTGCATAGAAAGAAATCATATTTTGATTGGTTTTGTTGATTAAGAGGAGTGAATCATGCTGTTTGGACTAACTCGAATTTGAAATTTGGCGCGCTTCCTCGGACGTGATGAAGATCCCGCGGATAAAGAAATTGCAAGCCCCGCAAGCCCCACAATCTCGGAAGCGCGACAATCTCCTTCCAATTACCACTCCTACATCCCCCCTACTGCCCCCTCCGCAGCCACAACACTCACAAATTCTCCGCAACAGTGAGTTTTCCCACCACATAATAAAAAGTGTGAAAAAAACGTCTCAGGTTTTAGTGGAAAAAGGAAAAAAACATCTCTCCGTATGTTGCTCGCTGCTCGATTTTCACGAGAGCGTGAATGTGTACAATTTTCCAAAGTGTATTGCTCCTTACTCCCTGAAAAGACCAATCGACACAGGTGTCGAAGTGGCCTGTGGCCTGTGGCATCCTGGCAGTCCTGCTAGCATCAGTATGCATGATTAGCCCCTAGACCCTGTGAGGGCAAAGCTGGCTGACGAGTAAGTGAATTTGCGTGAGAAAAAAAAAGTAAAACCAAAAAAAAAGGCTAGAAATCCCACAGGGGAATAAAGAATTTGAGGATTGGGTGGACAGAGTGAGAGATAGCCAAGTGAGTTCCCGCGAGTTTTCACAGGGCTTTGGAGAGTGGCAAGCGTATGACTTTTTTTGCACTTATTATCACCTCCTCGGTTGCCCTTTACCTCACCAAAACGTGAATATCTGGACTATTTTGAGGTGTAATGATTGTTGAACAAACGGACTACATGCTTTGAGAAATTAGTGATGATTTTTTAAAGTGAATTAAGTGAATTGAGTGGTTGTTTTCCTGTGCATCCAGTGAGTGTGTTGATGACCGATTAGAATGGTAGTCGCGCGCATCTCTTACACCGCTCAGTTGACAAAATAAAGTTGAGGATAAATAAATAATTGGTAAAAGAAGAAGGAGGCATAGATAATATTTGGTGCTTATTGCAAGTGGAGGATGTGAAGGTTGGTGCTCCAGTCGAACCATCGAGCATTGGTGTTAACAATTGTAAAAAAGGGTGGAACCACCAGGTGACGGAGAGTTGGGTCTTGGTCCACCTGGTTGCGATGTGGAGGCGTCGTGGATGGTTACTGGGCGTCCTGGATATTCCAGCAGGTGTTGGCGACACGAGAAATTCTATTGGAATGGATTCGCTTGGAATCACTCATCGCTGCAATTCTCCACTACTCATACCAAATTAACGGATATTCTTCTCAATTGAATTGCCGAATTATCATTTTTCCCACTGTCCACATGCTTTTTATCCCCTATTAAACTTCATTTCGCATTGTCGCTAGCTGGTGAAATTCTAGTAGAACGTAGGACAATTTTGCCCGCCACAAGGACGGGTGGTTATGTTTCCCACTTTCATCGGAATACTAGGTAATTATCACTCTTCATTGACTAATTTCATTCTATTCTTTCAAAATTCATCGGTTTATTCATATTCCTCCAAACTTATTTTTCATTTTTGTTATAAAGGTACTGACTTTAGTTGTTGCACCATGTGAACAATGAAATGATGAAATTAATCTCTAATTTATTTTGAAAATATCTTGAAAACTTTCTCCTTTATCCAGTAGGCATTGCTAAAATTGAAATGCCCGATCTCCTTTACCAACTAGTATTAATTTTAATTGGAACTCTCAATGTTTTCATTGGATTATCAAAGGCAGAGCTAAACAAAAGAATAATCATCATCGTTACTGCGTAAATATTTCCAACAATTGTTAATTCTTCTAGACATACAATCGTGGTGGGAGGTGCCGAGTATAGCACACTTCTGCTCGTTATTTAGGGCTGCCTTCAATCTCCTGGACTTTGATATTGAGGTACCTAAATCCACCACAAAATTGCTTACATGCTCTCGTAGGCAAACACGCAAAAACATACAAAAAATATTACTCAAACAAGCAAATATCCTGGCAGATTGCAAGGATCAGTGATTCTCTAGGCATAACCCGGCTTTGTGCTATTAATCAGCTCTTCTTTTAGTATAAATCTTTAACACTTCAATTCTAATATTATGGATATTTTTCCAGGATCTTGAAGAAGCTTTGCTGACAGACGGTGGTACTGAAGGAAGATTACTGCAAGAATTAATTGTTCGATTGTTGGAGGGCTGCTTGCCCAATGAATCGCGAAATGACATCTCCACCTTCAATTATCAGATGTTCCTCCGTCGATTATTTCGAAAAAAGTGCCAGGTAAATATTCACTAATTATTATAATTATTATTCAAATGTTTAACTGCTCACAACGCTGTTGAACAAATGAACAAAATGAGCAAAGGTGAAACTAGACTAAACAGTTTATTTCACTTCCAAACAAAATCAGTACTCCAACGTTATCTCCAAACTCGCAAGACAAACAATATTTTATCAAACATTTTTTCCTAATATTTCGTTATCAACGTGAAATTTCATAATATTTATATTGCAAATCCTATGTCGACGCAAAAAAAAAGAAAAGTATAAATTCCAAAGCTCTTCAAAAACCTCCAATAAATCAGAAAAATGCTTCTAACTCGTATATATTAAATGTTTAAAGTAAATTCGACTGAATTAAACGCTAAGATAGTCCATATTAATTTTAAGATTTGAGTAAAATGTGTAATTTTTATGAGTATTTTCCATAATGACCCGAAATGCGAATTGTTGAAAGGAAAATTAGCCTACCAGGAATGAAAACCACTTTAATTAATCGCATAATTCTTATACTACTTAAAATTTCAATTTTGACATGACCAGTAAGTAAAATCTGACAAAATTATTTAATATTCCGTCACCAACAAATAGTGACCGTTTTTTTTTCTTCGAAATGATAAGAGAGATATACTTTCAAGATTCTAATGAAGAATAGAATCAAACTGGTTGACACTTGAGCCAGAGTTTTTATCTTGAGGTGAGACATCCTTCACCGACTCATGAGCGACACGTTTCATCAATTTGCTAAAATGCTATGATTTTTTCGGAATCGACTAGTGCGGAACATAATAATCTCCATTTCCTCCATTTTTCAATATTCTGTCCTATTGTACGATAAAGCGAATTATCGGCTAATTTTCATCTACAATTTTCCAAGTATTTGGTCCCTCCGTTAAAAAAGTGTCTGGCAAACAATTTTTTTTTTGGACATGCTCTTCCTCTTAGTGCCTTTCTTCTTAATTTTGTAAAGGAACATAGAGTAAGACATACAATAGGAGGAAATTAAGCATCTGTTCAAACGTTTGAGAAACGAACTGAAAAAAAATAGACTAGAATTTTACTTTGTCTATTGGAAAGGTTGATTTTTAGGAAATCTCTTGAAATTCCCTGAAGATACACAGGCCCTGAAAAAGCTAAAATAACTCATAAAAATGAGTGTAACCCATATATTTTGAAATTTTAAAACAAACTTCATATTCTGCATTGGGGTTGGCTGTCTTAATGTTCTCTGTAGGAGTAATTCAACTCAGGCCCGATTGAAAAATCATGTACTGACAAACTACTTATTTGTACAGTGTTCAAACTTAGAATTGCTCTCTAATTAATGTGCAGTGAAGTGTAACGTCTTGACAATTCATTGGCAGCACAAAATTAGGTTCACTATTCATTTTTATGTCAATATCATTTGCTAAACTCTTTCCATGTTCGCTATTTATCAATGCATGAGTTTGAATAATTCGCCTGAGACTGCCGAGTTTTTTTAGAGCCCTAAATATTTGATTGTACTCAGAAAAAGTAAATTCCATACCTCCAGATGATGTTAAAATATTTCTCCGCACTTCTCCTTCAGTCCACTCGATAGAATTGTTTGCAATACGCCATCAAAAAAAGTAAATTCCTACCACCGTACAATGAATATCAAAGTAAAACGCTCATGCCACTCAACTTGTGAGTAAATTCTTGAAATCTGAAAATACTGGAACAATAATCCACCTAACTCTGTGAATTCTTCCAATTCCAGGATCACAAATACGAGAACCCCTTCAACACAGATGTAGACTTCGAGCTTCTTCCACTCCGTCAAAAAGTTGAGATCCTCTGGAGCCTCTGCGATTTCCGTCTGGACGCTGAGGACGTTGAGTTAGCCTTAGCCAACCTAGACTCAGACAGTCTCCGCGTTGAACCATTGGGTCATGACCGTAGCAATTCCGCTTATTGGTATTTCTACGGTACCCGTCTCTACAGAGAGGACTACATCAGTCCCAACAAGGCCCTCTCCCCTCGCCACAACCGTCGAGCACGTGACAAAAAACGTAAAAAACGACGTGTCAGAGGTGAAAAGCTGGTGGAGAAAGACGAGGAGGAGGAAGAGGAAGTGGAGGAGGAAGGGCTGGAGGAGGGCAAGGAGGAGGAGAATGAGATTAATCACTTAATTTCGGTGAATGCTCATGACAGTCGTACAACAGTTTGGCAGGTAGTGTGCTTTACTCAGCAGGACTGGTCGCGTCTTGTCGAGAAATTCAAGAATTCCGAATACGACACTGAAAGAAAATTATACCATACCCTGTCCGAAGATTTTCTTCCAGAAATTCCCAAGCTCTTTGAGCTCAAAGAGAAACAGCAGCGTCGTCGCCTGCTGGAGAGAAACACTCGGGTCCAGCGAGGACAAGAGCCAGCTGAGCCCACAGAAGAGGCCATAATGGTCCGAGCAAAAATGAAAACAAAGGCGAAAGCCACAAGGAAAATCCAATCGAGTAAAATTGGAGATAGTGAGGACGAGCCTCCACCTACCCCTGCCCCTGCCCCTACCCCTGCCTCAGCCCCTGCCCCTGCCCGTGCGCCTGCCCCTGCTCCCCCTCAGAGAAAAGGACGCCAGACCAACAACTCACTGGCTTCGGCTGACGGTCAAATTGTCATTCACACCAGAGATGAGCTTGATGGAGCTCCGAAAAAAGGACTCCCCAAGCACATTAGCACCTACACTTCCTCTTACCCTTATACATTTGGTATCGAGGAAGAGGAACGTCGAGTCGGCATGCACAAAGTTCTGGAGAGCCTCAAGGACCACGTCGATGCCTGGCCATTCGTTGATCCCGTCGACGAGGAGTATGCACCACGATACTACTCCGTTGTGAGAAAACCTATGGATCTGTCGACGATGGAGGAGAAACTCGAGGGCGGTTCCTACAAAAATCTCAGTCAATTCAAACGTGATTTTCGATTGATCGTCGACAATTGCAGACAGTACAATGGCTCTGACAACGAGTACACAGAGATGGCAGTCAACTTAAAAGAGGCATTTGATAGAGCTGTTGATCGTTATCTGGAGTCTGAGCTCTCTAGTGACGAGTGCCCTTCAGTTCCTGCATCACCAAATGCTGTTCCATCCTCACCTTATCCGGCTCGTGCTTCCTCATCACCTTCTTTATTAAGCAGTACACGTAAGCGTAATAAAAAATCAAAGCAAAAATCTAAATCAAATAAAAATGAGAAAAAGTCAAAGGGTAAGGTGAAGAATGACGAAGAGGAGGAAGAGGAAGAAGAAGAGGAAGAAGAAAGTCCTAGGGATAAGAGGGGAAAGAAGAGATCAAAACGTGCTAAGGAAGAGGAAGAGCGCAATGAGGATAACGATGATGAGGGTGATGAGAATGGTGCAATATCAGAAAGTTCTGTGATAAAATCAAAACGAAAAAAGTACAGTGAAGTTGAGGGATTGTCACCCAAAAGTAAAAAGTTATCGGCCAAAGAGGAGAAATCCGAGGAGAGTAATAAACGTGGGAAGAATCGACAGAAAGAACCGCTCACTAAAAATACTAAAGAACATAGAGAAAGTAGGAAAAAGAAGGAGGACTTTGAGGAGGACCATGAGCCGCTTATCTACATTAAGAATAAGAGTAAAACTAAGAGTAAGAGTAAAAGTAAGAGTAAGAGAATTGAGAAAAGAGGAATTGAAGATAATGCAGATTTGAATGATAGAAGTAGAAAGAAAGTGAAGAAACCAGATAAAATAGTGGATGAATCGGATGACGAGAGACTAGCAGAGATCGAGGAGAATGGCAAGCAGACGTCGGAGAAAAAGAAAAATCGTAACAAGAAGGACAAAGTAACTAGCCAGAAGCCATCAAAACTCGAAGTCAAACATGACCGTAAAGTCTCGAAGGAGAAGGAGAAGGAGAAGGATAAGGAGAAGGAGAAAAAATCAAAACCGAAGAAAGCAGAAGAACGACCCAAGAACGGTGAAGTCAAGAAGCTGGAAAAAGAAATGAAAAAAGAAGACTCAGCATCTAAAAAATTTGATTCATTAGTCAGCAATAAAGACCTGGAGTCCCTGGACTCTTTAAAGGATCGAATAAGTGAACGAAGACGAGAGGACAAGCTCAAACTCGAAAGGGAGAGAGCCAAAAGATCCACGAAAATTGAAACTGAGAAGAAAAAAGTGCCTTCAAACGGTAATACCTATCACGAGAGTGGTAAGGTGAACCTTAAACGAGCTAAACTTAAAAAACCTGTTAAAGATGACAAAGTTTTACCGATTAAGGATGAAAGTGTTGAAATTAAAAAAACTAAATTGGCACATGGTAAAAATAGAGAAGAGAGTCCTGCAATACAAGCACTGAATCAGGCGACCGAACAAACTTTGAATGACATCAATAAATGGTTAGATGATGCGCCCAAGTTATCCGAGTTCTCATCAGGCAGTGATTCGCCTCAGACCAAGCAGCCATCGACAAGTGAAATATTGTCTCGTATTGGGAGGACTGAAATTCCTCGTAAACGCCCGGGGAGTATTAAATTTTTGGGTCCAAATGGTCCACCGCGACCGAAGAAAGTCCAGAGAACCATCGATAGACTTCAGCCTGGCAAGGCAAAGGGTAATTTATTACTAAAGAAACCATTGTCCAGTGTAAGCAACTCGACTGACACTTCAACAAATCAATCGATCTCGGACATGGATCATCCGAGCAAGGATAGCACTGACGAACCAAAACTCAGTCTCGGTACTGTTCTTAAAAATTCCGACTCCATTCAGCTCATGTGTAAGAGCTTAGTAGCCTCACCAAATCCGAATTTATCCAACGAAGATGATGAAGACGATCGTCCAGTTGTCCCCGTCTCAAAAAAAATCCAAGACCATAATAGCAAAGGGGAAAAAGATGTCCTGCCAAAAACTGACACCGATGTTACGAAGAGTACGCAGGAGGAGTCTCAGAAACCAAAGTCAGCAACCCCCAATCTTAGTGCCTGGTTTAAGGCATTCGGTGCACCAAAGTCAAAGAAGAAGGAAGAAGAGATGGAAGATTCAGCTAAGAAAGAGGACTTCCAGGAGATTCCTCAACGTCAAAGAAGACTGAGTGCTGGAGGGAGCAGTGTCAGTGAGTCAGTCTCAAGTTTCTCCCAAGAGTCTCCCCCAGGCCTAACAATCCGATCTCCTCAGAGTCAGCCAGCTCTCACACCCACAGCAATCGAACAACCAATTCGAGCTGGATTCTACCAAGACGCATTGTCCACTGGAAGTAGTCCCAACAACAGTCCCTACTACGCCACACCACCAAGATACAGTGCCCAGTTACCTCCCACTCCATCCCCCCAGAACTATTCTCATCCCCTATCTCCAGCATATCCTTCCTCAGCAGCGTACGATCAAAATCCGCTATATCCTCAACTTCCCCAGGCCTCCCACCAGGTCTACCAAAAGCCACTAACTCCAGAAAATCCCCCAGAAACCCTACCCTACTCCAACTATTCCCATAACTCTCCTCAACCCGATAACTTTATAAATTCTCCCCAACAGCTTCCACCAAACCAAAAACACTCTCCAGTATACCCCAATCCTCAACCCTCCCCTCAAGCTCTTCCAGCCTACCCACAGAGCTCTCCCCAACCCCCTCCATCCAACTACTCCCAACCATCTCCTCAACAACCAACAACCCCTAACTACTCTCAACCATCACCTCAACAGCCCACTGCCAACTACTCTCAACCCTCCCCCCAACAACAACACTCACCCTATTCACAGCCATCCCCCCAGCCCCCTCCTAACTACTCCCAATCCTCCCCCCAACAACCAAATTCTCCCTACTCACAGCCCCTTCCCTCCCCAAAGCCACCACCTTCCTATTCACAAGTCTCCCCTCAAGCTCCTTCCCCTTACTCCCAATCATCACCTCAGTTTGCCCAGCTCTCCCCCCAGAACTCCACAAACTACTCTCAACCATCTCCAGGATCTCGAAATTTCTCTCAACATTCACCGCAACCACCGAGCTACTCACAACCCTCACCACAGAGTCTAAACTATTCTCAGCCTTCACCCCAACATCCCCCCAAATACTCCCAACCGTCACCTCAGGCTCCCAACTACTCCCAACACTCACCTCAGCAATCTAGTGCATCATCCACTGGATACACAGCCCAAGTCTCACCACAACCAGCTAGAATCTATCCTCAACCGTCTCCTCAGCCATGTACCCTGCCAGTTAGACCACCAGCAAACTACTCACAGGCATCACCAAGACAACCGGCACAATCAACTTCTCAAGCCTATCAGAAAACAGAGGAGTATGCCACTGGGGCGAATTATCCCCAGGGCTTTAAGGCCAATCATTCTTCGTATGTACCACCAACGCCAGCTGCTCCAGTGGAACCTGAGCGACGTATCGATTACCTCAAACCCGATGAGAAACTCGAGGTTTCACCGGTTCAGCAGATAGAGACTCCCCGAAACTTCACATCAGATCCACCACTTGGATTGAACCCAAATCACCAAGTATATCAGTCCAGTTCCCACCAGTTCCCACCAGCATACGGCAACAATTATCCATCGGCCAGTGATACTCAGAGGCCGGGATCCAGATTGAATCCACAAGAGACTCCTCAACAGTCCCAAGAGAGGCACTTCGATCCAGATTCCCTCAAGTACCAACGACAGGATCAATCACAAATATTGAACTTCCAACAGAATTTGCCGGGGCATGAGACTATCTATCAACCTGCAGGCTGTGGCTTCCAGGCACCGCCGTACCCCATGCCCAACTCAAACTGTCGACCGGTCTATCCCAGTCCTCATTACTACGACGCCAGTGCCAAATCAGCATCAGCAGCATCCTCAGTTCCAAGCGTTGCAGGAGCCTCTACCCTAGCCCCTGTGAAAAAACGCATGTACAACGAACCAACTAGTGACTCTCCGAGGACTCTGGCTGACCAACAGTCAAGAGGGACCCAAGAGCAATTTAGTTACGATCAGATGATGTCATTAGCTACTTCAGAACCTGGGCAAAATCTCGTGTCAGGGCAATTCGAAAGTGGTTTCGGGACTTTGGATTCAGTGAGTGGTAACTCGGCTTACGCCAGACTGGGACTCGGCTTGGTGGGGAGGAGCTCTAAGGATCAGCAGCAACTACTTTCAATTCCAAGACCCTCCAGCAAGGATGCTTTGTCATACAGGCAACCAGGTTCATCGGACTTGGATTTAAATCTCCTTCAGAGCCTGCAGAATGCAACTGCCAAGACGATGCCAGCGAATCACTCTAGAAGAGAACCACCACCAGCTCCAGCGCCAACCAAGGGGAGAAAAAGCAAAAAAAAAGCTCAGGCTCAAGCTCAAGCTCACGCCCAAGCCCAGGCTCAAGCTCAAGCTCAGGCTCAAGGTCAAGGTCAGCAACAGTCGGGCATTGGTGAGCAGCCGATGCCAGGATTCCCCCAATACTCTGGAAATGCTGGTGATCCAATTGGACTGAAAAATCCACCAGCAATCCCTCCGGGAGGTAGTGCGTTTAATTTTGCAACAGCAGCTGGTGGAACCAATAGTTCACCCTTTTATGACAAAGATGCGTCAGCTGCAGCAGCTGCCTTTGCATTTCTCGATGAGTTCAGAAGTCCAAACGCCTATTACAGCATCTTGAGGCAACAACAGGGACAGCCTCAGGCAACAGCACCTGTTACAGAAGCAGGACAGCAGGCGAATAAATTAAATAATCAACCCCCCAGAAATTATCCACCTCACCCCTTCCTTCATTCTCCCCAGCGATCGGCACCCTATGGACCACCAGTTTCAGCGTATGTTAGCCCTCATGGACCAAATCTAGGGGTGGATCCAGCTGCTTATCAACAATACATTCATTCCCTTTATGCACTACAGCCGCCATCACATCATCATCGACCATCGTGGCTCTAGCCGGAAAGAACATTGCGAAAAGACATTCTTTATTGAGTGAAATAGACTGAGTGTATCTATCAGTTTTCTTTTAGTTCAGGTCAATAGTGAGGTCGTTTCATACTCCTAACGAACATGAGGTGGGTTTTATTTTTCAAATTATGGTGAGAAGAACTTTTCAGAGTGCCATGCCGTTCTTTTTTTTTCTCTGACTCTTTTCAATTGAGATATCCACATGACAAATTTGTTATGTATGAAAAGGAATTTCGACCTCGAGATTGAAAGATTGGATCATTATTCTTTCATTTTACTACAGGCAATCTAGTTGTCCCACCATTCCTTTTCTTGAAAAGAAAAATTATGACTTCACTGTTGATTTATTATCTGTTTTTGTTCTTTTCTTTTAAATCACAACTGTTTCTCCTCAATGATGCAAATTCACGTTTTCTATTTTATTATTCCCGGTGACAGTATTTTCCTTTTTGTTTTCTTTTATACAGTATGACATAGTTTTTTTCCTTGAAAATTGTATTGCTAGAGGAGGCTCTCTATTTCTTCTTTTCTGTAATTTAATTTCTGATTTTGTATGCGTTTATGGAATAGTTATTGAGAGATTTTTCTTTTCGAATTTATAACTAGCCAAGGTGATACTGAAGGTTGAGAAAATGAGAACTAAGTTATGAAACTGTAACTTATTACAAAATAATCGAAGGATTTTTTGTTGTATTTGTGAAATGATGAAATGTAATGAGCTGATATTATCATTTGAAAAACTCATACAAAAGATACACAATAAACTATTGACGTCGGTTTTTTTTAAGTCAATGTTTCACAGTCTGATCCTCAAATTTTGCCAATATCAGCATCGAAACCGTCAATAGAGCATTTTGTAGAGGATTAATAGAGCTCGAACAAATATTGCATCGTATTTTATTCTTTAAATGTTGACAAAATTTTGAAAATGAAAAATCTACTCATCACATTCTATCACTTGAATGTTTTGCTGTAACATTTGAACGTTACCTAACTAATTTTATAATTCTTTTTTTATTTCATGGTAAACAAACACTACACAAATTCAGTTAGTATTATCTACTATTTCCCCATTGAGCGAAAATTGGTAGATGAGGAATTCTCAATTTGCAATAATCACTCTTTTCTCATCAACGGAATTTTATACACATTACGATTCTTAATAATTTGATTGTCCTCCCCCCGATCTAATTACTGTGTAGCTATATGTAAATAAAGATAAGTGTCCTCGGGACGTGAATCGAAACTCTTGTTGTTTCAAGTACCAAATAAGAAAAGTAGAAAACTACGATTAAATGAAAAAAAAACAATATAGAACAATGAAAAAGGAAATTGTCAATGAAAGATTCACTTCCAGAGATATTAAGGCTCTCCTGAGCTTTTAGTGTTATTACGTAATAGATATAAAAACCTACACCAATTTTAATGATTTAAATTACCAAGATCGTTGTAAAGAGATGGAACAAAAATAACGATCGAGGGACAGATTGAAGAATTTACTCGATATAAGCTTCATATTCATCGATCCCTCTCCAAACTTTGTTTTTCTGTAAATAAAATACATATCCCTATCATCATGGATCCGCTAACCAGTGGAAGATACATTGTGTAGACATAGTAAGCTAAAATTTAATCATTAAAGTAAATTGCAAAATGGAATAAACAAGGGAAACGAGCGATTATTTGACAAGAGAAATTTTAAAAAACCGATCGTGTGTATGGGTAGTCATGAAAATAACTCGTGAAGTTCTTGTGAAATAACACAAACGATAAATGTTTGAACAAAGAGGAAAACATCTCAACAATCCCATTACTCCCCACCAATATCGATAGAAAAATATTTGATAGTTATTAATAAATGAAGTATATATAAATAATATACATATAAAAAAATAAATAAATATATATATATATATATAAATATATGTAGATATATATATATATATATTGTAAATGTGTATCGAAAGAAATTAAAACACCGTTTGTTACAATTGTTTCTGTTATTTTTTTATTCATCGTTGATTTTTATGTGAGAAATAAACAGAAGCTCATTCAATACAATCGTTGCGGGGGTCCCATGGAGGACTTGATGTGCAGGGAACGCACGTTCTGCCAGTGTTTCTTCAGGAGTGACACCAAAAAATTTATGGCAAGATGCACATTCTGCACTAACTCGTCCTCGTTCATGTCCACGTGACCGACAGCTACTGACAAACAGAGTACTTTCTTCATCTGCAGCTTGATAGTGGCTTTCACCTCGTCGATTTTCGCGGTCATTGATTCCTGGTGAGTCAGGAGACCAGGGAATTTTCCGGCTTTATTGAGACCTGGACCAAGCAAACGGGGGATTTGCTTGATGAGGGACTCACTAGCCAAGAAAGCGTCGTATTTCTTTGCTGAAATCATTTTTTTTTCATTAGTTTATTTTGCTGTTCATCAAGTAATAAAAAGATCTCTCATTAACTCAATCTAAAGGATATATCAGGTTTAATAAAAAATTTTATGATTTTTTTTACATTGAGAGATATCAGGTAAATTAACTGGTCACTCCTCATTTTCTACTTGTTTGGAAAATAAAAGAGGAGAAATTTCAAATTATTTCAATTGATCATTTGGAAAATGTATCAACATTGATTGAGGTGCAAAGTAATTTAAAATCAATGCCCACACCCAATGAAGAGTTAATCTCCTTCACATTGACAACCTTCATGGTTTTTCATCGCCATGGAGGTGCTTTTCAGGAAGGTTTTGCTATTATTTGGGATTTGGTCAAGCATTTACCTAGCTTCTTTACGAGCTTCTTGTTCTTATTGAGTTTCTTCAGGGCTTCGGCATCCATGAAGGGAACATTCTGGGCTTTGGCCTCATCACAGTGCTGCTGGTCTCCAAGAATGCAGACTTGCATTTTTGGCCTGGGAATGTTCTTCAACCTATTCAACATCGAAATAATATCGATTCATGATTTCAACACTGTTTAAATATTCTTTGTAACATTGACTTTAACAAGAAAATGAAGAAAAAATCATGCCGAAAACTATGGGATCATAATTTCCACAACATCAATCCACTAGAAAATTATTTGATTTGAAGAAAAAAAAATGTAAAAGAAGATTTTGTAAGAAACTGAGATTACTACAAAAACAACCGTTTCAGATATTGGTGACATTTAACATATTTTTTGAAAACATTTCTCATCGTGTATCGAAAACATGATTTGGTAACAAATAAGAATTTCTCTTGAAATTGCCTGTATTTTCGTATTTGCGAAATATTAGTGAAATAATTAACGGACAGTTAATTATGAAAAGCAAACAAGGGAATATTTGAAAGGTTTTCATCAACTCGAAATTATTTGTTCAGTCGTCCAAAGACTCACCGTCAGGACGCTTCTCAGGACCACAAGGGTCTCTGGTTACGCCTTAAAATTAACGGTAAATACCTCCCCAATATTTAAGACCCTGGGTGAGGGTCCGCCGAGATAAACTCAGCTTCCTGACATTATTCCAAGACAATCAATGTCGATTTAGCATTTTCCAAAAGAAACTGAAGAGCTTCTTTTGGATTTGTATTCTAAATCGAAAAGGAATTCTCAGAGTCAGGTGAGAACATACTTGACGGTTCCGCTGAAACGCTTGTCCTTCTGAGGGTCGTAGTTTTTCAAACCGATTTGGAGTTCCACCGTCTCAAGGAAGTTCCTCTTTTTCTCCTTTGAGTGCGTGAGGAGAGCATTCACGCACTCGTAGAATGTATCACGCGATACTTTGGATCTAAAGTCATTCAAAGAGCAAAATAGTTAATAATTACTGTTGGATAAATAACTCAGAGAATGAGTGAATCCAAAGATATGAACATGAAAATGTAACACTGTAATTCAGGTATATCAATTGTTGGATTAGGTATTGGGAAAATGTATCAACACTGATTGAGGTGCAAAGTAATTGAAAATCAATGCCCACACCCAGTGAAGAATTAATCTCCTTCGCATTGACAACCTTCATTGCTTACCATCGCGATGCAGGTGCTTTTAGGAAGGTTTCTTAAAGTTTTAAGAATCAGTTTTGCTAATTCTTAAAGTCAGTCGACTTGAAAGCTATTAGGAACTGGCTGAGTAAACGAATGAAAAATAAGTTTTGCATATAGCCTCAAAAGACCTTGAACTATGAATTATCTTAGGTAATTATCGCAAAATCCTTCTCTCTACAGCATCTACAATGAAAATACTCATATTCAGCAGATTGTTATAATTAATTGTTGTAATATCGGCATCGGAAGGTCTAACCTCTCAGCCACGTGGCATAAAATTATCAAATTCATGTACCACTATTCCCAATGAAATTATTACTATGAAAGACTATATAAATTATGGAGAAACCTAAATGTTTTGTTTTTTTTTAAGATTTATAGTGTGATCATCACGTCTCGTTAAAATTTTTCGAGCAATTAAGATGCTAAATAAAATGCCATATCGAGTAGAGTAAGTGAATTCCGAAAAGTACATGAATCTGGATTACGTTAATGATTGATGCAGGCGTTTGAAATAATTTGATAATTTTGAGCTAGTATTGGAATTAGAGAATACAAAAAATATCGAGTACTTACGTCATGATGAGCAAAACAGACGGATCGGACTACACGACCGTTCTGGACGAGAGACAAACCGGAAAGAGATTGGCAGTGCTGTAATGGATGCAGATATAGACGAAAGAAGAGAAGAAGAGTCGTGAGCGTGTGAGATTTAGGCGACAGAAAGTTAAACCAGTGATGACAGTGAGGCTGACCAACAATGGTGGCGCTGTCATTCATAGAGTGGCTGCCTCTATCACCATATCGCCCCTTTACGCCAGTTTACGCGGGCTCTTTTATTTGTTTCTATACTTCTTCGACTTCTTCTCACCCTGACCCCCCTAACCACCTGACCCTATTCACCGTTAGCACCGTTAGTAACCTCCGAAACCTCCAAGGAAGATACTCCATCAAATATCTGATGTGAATTAACCGAATTGACCAAATCTCAAGACAATCAATCAAGATATCAAGATATTCAACTTGCCAAGCAAAAACTACATGGTATACTGTTTAATAAGTAATAATTCATGATGGAGTTACTCGAAAATCCATCAATAAAAGTAAAATATCAAAAATGCAAACTACGAGTGAAAAGATGGGAGAGCAATTTTATGGAGCAATACGGGAGGAGACCCAATAAGGTATGAATCAATACAACGATGTGTATTGCACAGTTGCATCTCTCACGTCTTCCTTTCGTACTCTATCATACATATAATTATACATATGACGCGGTTATTAGTAAGTTTCTATTCTTTTGCCTACAGAATGATATAAAAAAAGCAGACTCCACAATAAAAGAATCCTACAAGATGTACTGGAAACTTAAAACCCAGGCGTTGGAAGAAACCCTTTTGGACATTACGTACACAGATGAGATCCAGGCCAACGTATCTGCCAACTCCTTCGCTGACCAACTCGACTCATCTCTTACTTTGGACTCTTCTCTGAGCCTTCCACTAAATACATCTGACAAGTCTGAAACTCCAGAAGCCTCGGGAGGAACAACCTTTGAGAGCTCCCTAAAAAACGTTGAAAACATTGATCCAGAAAAATCCTCAGCACAGAAAGATCCTGTGGAGAACTGTGGAGAACTCTCCAAAAGTGACAATGTTAATATCGATGGGGCCTGGGGCAACCATTTAAACAAAGACCATGAGGTTCCCAAGAATGGCAAAAAACTGCTAGTAGGGAGGTCGTCCTCTTTCCAATTGTCCCAAAAAAAATTTACATCCGGAAGTTTCTCACAAAGAAATCCCAGAAAATCATTAACAATGGCGAAGATAAAATCCAAATCAGATATAAACAAACCAGTTGGTGCCTCCTCATCGTCGAACAATGAAGAATCCTTCCACAGAGAAGAGAAACCGGCATCCGATGGAATATGTGGGGATTCCTTGAAAATAAAGTCATTGGGGATAAAAGTATCTGCTCAACCAGTTAATGCAATTCATCAATTGATGAGTGGTGCTTCAGCAATTGCAGAACGAAAATTGAATCCTGGATGGCTGGAGAGATGTGCTAAGGATGCTGGTCTTGATCCGCTACCGCCTGTCAACCCCCAGAGACTATCAGGCATCAGTGATTCGGGTGTGGAGTCCATGGATACTAGTGTCTTCTCTCCCCCTGAAACTACTCCCTCCATTAGTGCAAATAACTCTACACAGATCTCAGATGATGAAGAGTTCGTCTGTAACAGCGATGATGAAGAGGAGAATCAAAGAAAACGAGTGAGAAATATGAGAAGAACATTGTCTGATAAATCTTTACCAGAACTCAAACGTCGATGTCTTGGTCACTCCCCAGAAGTACAAGCGCCTACCGCCATATTTTCCCACACACTTTCAAGTAACGATTGCGCTGCTAATGGTCCTGAAATTGTAGACCCTGTGCTCAGTAATACTAATGATACCAATTCACGGGAGAAGATTGCTGACGAAAAATTATCCCACAACGATCAAATTGAGAAGAAGATTCCCCCACAAACACAACAACAATCTCCAAAATATTCATCAACATCAGCGCCAAACAAGAAGAAAGTCACCAAAAGATCGAAAAAGGCTGTATCTGATGATGAAGAATATGAAGAACAAATACCTAAACCCAGAAAAACTAGAGTCGCACGTAAGAAACCAATAGTAAAGAAACGTACTGAGTTGTTAAAAGAGAAATCTCGCAGAGTTGGCAAACGATCCACGAGAATTAAAAAAATGGTAGAGTCAGAAGAGGAAGATGAGGAACAAACGGAATCCTCTCTAAACATTCCAATTTACGGAGTGGAAGCTTTGCAAGTGGTTCCCAGATTTGCAGTCCCCCGAGATACAAATGGTGATTTAATTTCCGAATTCTCTCAGACAATAGGAGAATCCACAGCTGCCACAACATTGACGAAAAAATCTAAAAAACTCATGACAGAAAAGGAAAAGCTCGAGGAGAAATTAGCGTCTGGGAAAGCGAATGAGAACTTCGTAAGGATAAATCTGAAAAAGAAGGTATTTGTTCGTGGTAAACGTTCCTTCAATTTCTCTAGATATAGGAAAAATCAGTGGAAACAGAAGAAGAAGGAACTGGCATCGTCTGAGGGGGCATTAGATCTGGCTGATTTAGCTGAGAAAAACACGTGTTTCAAGTGTGGAGCAACTGGTCACATGTCTCGAAAATGTCCTGCGATGAAGAGTGACACATTATTGCCCCTGGAAGAAACAGCAGAAGAAGTTTCAGCCTTCCCTACCCTTGAAGAGGTTGAAAAAATGGCAAAAGAAAAGGCAGCGGATGTTCATGCTACAAGAATGAATTTGCTTCCTAAATGTCCATCAATGTCAAACCCACCTTCACAATCTGTGGAAACTATTGACGATGAATTTTCCTTCGATGAAGACGATTTTAACGATATGGTTGGCCACAAAATCCCCGAGGATCTCGTTGCTAAACTATTACCTCCAGCAACTCGTACAATGGATCCGGTGTATCCAATTTCCACCGCTGGAAAGCTTCAAGAAACCCCCGAAGAAGTATTTGACACTTTAAAAATGTTTGGACATGAGAATTTCCGGCCCGGGCAGGAGAAGGCAATCATGAGAATTTTATCTGGTCAATCGACATTGGTAACATTGTCGACAGGCTCTGGAAAATCTTTGTGTTATCAACTTCCTGCCTACCTCTACTCTAAACGAACTCATTGTATTACCCTTGTGATTTCTCCTCTGGTATCTCTCATGGACGATCAAGTGACAGGAATTCCTTCATTCCTGTCAGCAGCTGCCCTTCACACTGGACAAAGTGAAAAGGTCCGAGAGAAAATAATACAAACTGTTAGAGATGGAAATCTAGATATTTTATTAGTGTCTCCAGAGGCAGTTGTCGCTGGAGAGAAGTCGACAGGTTTTGGCAGTTTATTGAGACAACTTCCACCGATAGCTTTCGCTTGCATTGACGAAGCCCATTGCATTTCCCAATGGTCTCACAACTTCAGACCCTCTTACTTGATGATTTGCCGAGTTCTTTTGGAGAAACTTGGAGTGAAAACAATTTTAGGATTAACTGCCACCGCAACGAGGCACAATGCCCAAAGCATTGTTGAGCATTTGAGAATCCCCGATGGAATGGATGGCGTCATATCTGATATCCCAATGCCAAACAATTTAACTTTAACTGTATCGAAAGATGAAAACAAGGATCAAGCGTTAATATCTTTATTGAAAAGTGAAAGATTCAAAGAATGTGATTCTATTATTATTTATTGTACGAGACGAGACGAATGTTTGAGGATAGCAGGAACCCTACGAATATCTCTACAAGATACAGTTGATAAAAATAAAGAGAAAGGTAATTTTGATCGGAGGAGAAAAGTGTCACAGATTGCAGAGGCATATCACGCAGGTTTAGCTCCAAGTCGACGTAAAGTCATTCAAAAAGCATTCATGAAGGGGGAGACGAGAATTGTAGTGGCTACTGTGGCTTTTGGAATGGGTATTAATAAATCAGACATTAGATCAGTAATCCATTACAATATGCCAAAGAGTTTCGAAGGATATGTCCAGGAGGTTGGAAGAGCTGGAAGAGATAGTTTACCAGCTCATTGTCATCTCTTCTTGAGTCCAACAGAAGAGTCCGATAAGTGGGAACTTCGTCGTCACATATACTCAGACGGGGTAGATCGACACACGATCCGGAAACTTCTGCAGAAGATTTTTATTCCTTGCTCATGTCCTCAATCAAAGTCTAAGAATCGTTGTCCAGGACATGAGGTGGCCATTCCAATTGATGAGACAGTTGCCTCACTCGATATCTCTGAGGAAACTATTTCAACTCTTTTGTGCTATCTTGAGCTACATTCCAAAAAATTCATCACAGTTTTATCCTCGGCTTATTGTACTGCCAAAGTCTCGAGTTATAATGGCCCAAATGCTCTAAAAACGGCAGCTCAATGTTCTCCTCCTCTTGCAATGGCTATTGCTCTCGATGCCAAACGAGGAATTTCTCATGAAAAGAGCTCTCTCATTGAGTTTCCTGTGATAGATGTTGCGGCTGCTATTGGATGGGACAGTGGAGTTGTTAAAAGTCATCTGAAGAATTTAGAATGGAAGACGGTGGAGGGAAGGCCCAAGAGGAGCTGCCTTTCTGTTAAATATGACAAGTTAGGGCTGAGGGTGAGAGCTCCTGGGGATCTCGATGATGCTGAATTGGATGAAGCTCTCGAAACGTTGTATAAGAGAACCCAATCTCAGGAGAAGTCTTCCATACATCAGTTGGAGGTTATATATGAAGCTTTAAATGGAGTCAGTCATGGTTCGGTAAGGGAATGCATGGAGTTGGACGAGGAAAGTCTGAGCAAGTCCGAGAAACTTAAAACAATAATTAGGGAGTACTTTCTATCCAGTACACCGTTCAATCTTTCAGAGATCAACGAGAGTAAAACAATAATTAATGAGTCATCGGTCATATCAGATATTCGAAATTTGATTTCTAGTTATAGGGATAATAATTTTACGGGAAGAGCAGTGGCCAGAATTTTTCATGGAATTCAAAGTCCGAATTATCCCGCTTTTACTTGGAGCAGGTGTAAATTTTGGAGATCACATCTGCAGACAGATTTTAATGCTATTGTTCAAATTGCTACTAGGGAAATTTTAGCATCTAGGTAATAAACAAGGGGAAGTTATTCAAGGTTTTGTAATTGATTGTTTTTAATAGGAAAGTTACGGTTAAAGATATTGTTGACACTTCGTATGATGTTATGACGGAAGGTCAATTTACCATTAATTTGCCACTTATTTTGTAAATATTTTCGAACGAAAAATGTAATTTGATTTATGAAATCATCTTATTTGTCGGAACTTTAGTGAAATGGGAATAACTTCATTTGATAGTTTGTTGTCTTGAAAACGTACTACTCAATATATGATTTTCTACAAATCCACAATAATAAACAAATATACTAATAATTAGTGTGCTAACCAGTAGTTGTGTTACCAAACATTGGTCCACCCGAAACATTCGGATATGACAATTTTTTAAAAACTTGCGCTACTTTTCCCTTGAATTCCCTTTAAAAGTAGGTTGTCACATGGGAATTTTTCGAGTTGGTCACTCGAATTCCTTGGTGGCCCTCTGCTTGGTCCCCCCGACCAGTGGGTAGCACACTACTTTCTTCACGTACTCACACAGAATAGTCCTCTTTTTGTTCTACGATGACGTATTAGAAACCGAAAATTCAATAAAAATCGAATTTCCAATGAATCTTTAATTGTAGTGACTTGAAAGAATGAAATTTTGTAAGTTAGGTGGCGAGGAGACGATAAAGAGAAATAAATTGAATGACCCTTTTTGTAATTTTATAAGGTATTTTTGTCAACGATTTGCTTATTTAATTAATTGAAATATCATTGTAATAGACTCCTACGTAGGCGTATTATATTAATCTAGTAATTTTGCAAATATTTAATTACAATTGAGGGATTAAAAAAATGGTTTTTCCATATGTGTATATATATATTTTTTTCTTTTATAGGAACATTCAGTGATTTCAAATACCAGATGAACTGACAATTATACGTTATTGAAAAATATAAATTTTGACAAATAAAATCTAGTTTTTTAAAACGTTACCATTAGTTTGGCTTACAAAGTGTTACTCCTGAACAGTATAAGAAAACAGTTTTTGTATTCGATATTTGTGATTCGTTGGAGCATAACTCAAAGTTACATTAATTTACAGGTTTCACGTTGGGGGCTGAAAAGGCAGACAGCAACGTACAAAACAAGAAAAATTTTGCATTCGCATTTTCACTAACAAAAATTGTTTAACGACACCATATTACAGGAAAAGACATTAAGAACTCAATACAATTAATGCCATACGTTAAATATTTTGCAGGCCCTCAATTAATTTTAAGATGAAAATCATAATTAAATTTCTAATGACTACGTCTTGATGGTATTCATAGAATAATGTCTATAATTTGGGGGGTTGCGGATGAGTTGGGGTTAACCAAAAAAGTGGGTAGAGGGAGGAAGGGGGGGGTGGACGACTGGCTCGGAGAAGACTACAAAAATAAAAGAGCCTCAACCTTCTATCGGTTGAAAAGGTATCTGAAGTGCAGGGGTGAGGAAGAGAAATTGGTGTACGAGGAGGAAAGGGCCACTCTGCGGAAAATGAAGAAGGACCGACAGGCGGAGTTGGCTAGAGAAAAAAAGGACAGGGTAAGGAGTAGCAGGAACATGGGGGAGCTATGGAAAGCACTGAACAGTTGCAGGGCTAGAGTAGAAAGGCGAGGCGACGCGATCAAGGCCGAGGAATGGGTGAGCTATATGGGAGAACTCCTGGGGGGGGATAGCAGGGGTAGAGAGGAGGACAGGGAGTGGGAAACCTGGGAGGAGTGGTTTGAGGTGGAGGACCTGGATGGGGATATTAGCTATACGGAATTCGGTGGGGCCCTGAGGGGACTCAGGAACGGTAAGGCAGCTGGAGAGGATGGAGTGCCGGGAGAATTCCTGAAACACTTGCCGGAGGAATGGAAGAAGGAGTTATGGGGGATTGTGCAAGAGGGATGGAAGGATGGGACCATCAGGGAAGGATGGCAGGTAGCAAGGATCTTCCCGATACACAAGGGGGGGGATGAAATGGATGTGAAAAATTACAGGGGAATTTCGCTGCTCAATCTCGGGTACAAACTGTTAGCCAGCGTCATGGCTGACAGGCTGAGCGGATATCTGGAAAAAGAAAAGAAACTGAGAGAAAGTCAGGGGGGTTTCCGTAGGAGGAGGGGGACACGGGAACAAGTTTTCATTTTAAATGCCCTAGTTGGGAATAAAATAAAGCACAGGAAGGGGAAGGTATATGCGGCTTTTATCGACCTAAAAGCTGCTTTTGATACGGTGGATCGCGACATGTTGCTGGAAAAGTTATGGAGAAAAGGGATAAGGGCACGTTTCTACGACATGGTCAAGGCAATCTACAACACCACGGAGAATGAAGTTATAACCGGGGAGGGAATTTCGAGCAGATTCGAGACGGGGAGGGGAGTTAGGCAAGGATGCCCACTAAGTCCCATTCTCTTCAACCTGTTTATCGATGACGTCGATGAGAGGTGGGAGAGGAAGGGCGTGGGAGGCGTAGTCGTGGGTGAAGAAAAAGTCTACTGCCTAAAATACGCGGATGACATCGTGATAGTGGCGGAAGATGCGAGGGAGCTGCAAGGCATGCTCAACACGGCAGAGAAATACTTCAGGGAGAACAGACTGGTGATTAATGTTAACAAAACGAAAGTGATGGTTTTCAGAGGAGGGGGTCGAAGGAAGAAAGGGGAGAAATGGCAGGTATACGGGGAGGAAGTGGAGGAGGTGAAGGCCTTCAAATACTTGGGGTACTGGTTCACCACCAGGAACTCATGCGGAGAGCATACACGTAAGATGGCTGGGAAAGGCACCAGAGCGGTGAACGCAGCCTGGGGGGTGGCCACAAGAGCGGGTTTGAATACGCTGAAAAGTAGGCTATACGTGATGAACGTGCTAGGTAAATCGGGAGCGATGTATGGGTCGGAGATTTGGGGATTGGTCCCGAGGGATATGCTGGAAAGGGTCCATGGGAAAATTGTCAAGATGGGGATGGGAGTTCTCAAGTCCACCCCGGGATATTTGTGGAGGGCGGAAAGTGGGAGGGAAGGGCTGGTCATGGAAACCAGGAGAAGAGTTCTGTCCTTCTTATGGGCTGTGAGTAGATCAGAAAAGAAGAGGCTAGCCAGGGTCTGCTTGCAGGAGGAAATCAGAGCTTTGGGCAACGGAAACCCATCGGTGTGGGGAAAGGAGCTGGGACAGGCCCTCAAAGACTGGGAAGGGGAAGAACTCATTGAAATTTTGAAAGGAGGGGAGATAGAACGAAAGGTCTTCTGGGATAAATTGAGAGGATTCATAGAGCGCGGGGTCAATCAGCAACGGGAGTTGGACGACAAGGGAATAGGCGCCTCTAGCTACAACCCGTGGTACAAAAGGCTGAGCAGACAGGACCCTGAAAAGGGGTACTGGAGCTTGAAAGGGGCCTCATGGGGGGACAAGGTGATGTGGGCCAAAATGAGATGCGGAAACATCGGGAGGGCGGGTAATAAGGGTTTCAGGGTCACCAGCTGTAGGCTGTGTGGGGAGGCTCCTGAGGACCTGGAGCACATTGTGCATTGTGAGAAAGTACAAGAGGGCGAATTACGGGACTGGTGGGAGCAGTGGGATGCACTGGGAGTCTCGGGGACTCTGGTGGAGACCCTGGAGGGGGAACCTGTGATGGAGCTGTGCAAGCTAGTTAGGGAATGGGAGAAATTGATGAGGAAAGCGGAAGAGGTTCATCCAGCGATGACCTAGTTTTTTTGCAGGAGGTAAAGGGAGAGGAAACTTGATGGATCCTTAGTAGGAGTACTCTCTGTCAGCCGGCAGGAGGGCGATAAAATGGTCGCGAAACACCGGTTTTTTTTCACACCAGGGGTGGGAGGGTCTGCAGCCAACTGCCAGCCTTTCTTCGCCTCTAAGTCCCCAGACTCCAACAGAAGGAAAAAGTCTTCGAGCAGGGGCACTATCTCTACTAGCTTAAGCCGTTGTAAAACTCCTTAAAACCTGTTATTATATTTGTTCATTATTGTAAAGGATATTGTATAACTGTTAGCCTTATGGCTTCATATTTTATATTTTTCATACTCCATATTTCCTTATTTGATAGTCTATAAGTGGGGAAGCAGGGAAGGGAACAAAGTGTAAAAGCCCGAAAGGGTATACATGCTGAATAAATATACTACTATGTCTATAATTTCTTATTTCTACCGCTATACATTTTTTCATCCATTATTATAAAATGAAATATTAATTTATCAACTCTCTAAAACTAATTGAATTTTCATTGAAGACTTTTTAACTTAATTTTTTTCAACCTGCATAAAATTATGTAGCACTTTCTACAATACAGCCATCATATTGAATGAACCGTTTTACTTTTTTTTTTAAATTAGCATAAATAGTAAATTTACGTGACAGCTCTTTTCATGTAATGACATTGCTTGAGAAATTTGTGCATTCTTATTTGTTGCATCTTACCGACTTTATCCATCCGAGTTTCATACTGACACAGTGCACAAAATTCTGAAGTAATTCCATAAAAAGGCGATCGAAATTCCACATCCGAGTCCCTCAATGACTTATTTTTGTAGTGTGTCCATCGATGGAATAGTACTTCGAAAACCGTGAGGCCAAGTGCAAACCATCTGCAGTAAAATATTGCAGGAAGAAAAAGGAAAACTGGATTTGTCTGCGCAAAGGAGGTGCCTTCTGGTAGAGGATCAGCAAGACCTTGTTTTTTATTTTTAGCATTTTCCTTTGATGATAGCTCCTCCTTGATTTTCCTTGGGATCTACACACAATTTCAACATATATATCCATCAATACTAATCACTGCAAAAAATTGTTTAGGTCAAGTCGTCATTCTAATGAATTTTTTTTTGATCATATAAGCTTATCAAGACCTTGTTTATCGTTTTACCCTACAAAAAAAAACAAAGTCTACCATTTTCTATAGTAGGTCATTTCAGTGGCGAAAATGTATCGTTTGAATCATCCGAATTATTTATTTATTTTGAGAGTTGAATTATCATAGAATGACGACAGGGAATAATGCACTTAATAATTTAAAAAAAGAACACTACAGACTTAAATCCAGCAATGATATACAATTTTTGTTATCCAAGAGCAATTATCATTTAATCAGGTTTGATATTGGTAAATAAGATATCAGTCCTTTGTCTTATTAGTGTTCCCTCAGTTATAAAAAATAAACTCTTACCTGAAATGGAACTCTTCTCTTAGTACTTGTCCCTCCAACATCAACCTCTGGTTCTCCAGTTTCTGCATCATTAGTCGAACTGATAATTTTTTTATTGATTAAGTCAGTATCATCATCGTCTACAGATGAGAAAAGACTCTCTCCAGTCTCCTTATCGATAAAAATAAACTGTTCCATGGCACTCGATGTTTTTCATACGACGTATGTAAAAACAGAAAATTGTATCCGATTATAAGAGTTGAATAATTCCTATGGTAATCAACTTGTAGTTGGTGTCACTCAGGTCACTTCCCGGATGTCTTGATTCTTTGGATCGGTGTTTTAATAAAGCCCAGAGTAAACATCAAATCAAAGAGTAGCATCTACCTGAGAAATTAGTGATTACGTTGTATTCCGCGTGATTATTATTTTTTTCCTTGACTATCTTCCTGAAGGTGTCATGGATTTCTTCTATGAGGAATGTTTCAGCTGGCTCTTTACTAAATTCACACGATCGATCACCTCTTCAACTAGATAACTGGATAAACCATGCAAACAAAAATGTAAAATCTAAAGATTCATTTGTTGTTTTATCATTTAATTCACTTGACAGATGACAGAGAAATGCTGCAAGTGTCGATGCCTGGGGATGTACATACTGATGAAATACGCAAGTGATTGAGCCAACAGTTAATATCTTATATGAATAACACCAATGTCACCAATCGCAATTGTCGCCAGCATAAAACGATTCTCCATTGGCTATCAGCATTATTACACCGCAGTTACACCGCAGGTACACCGGAGGGGATAAAACCCATGTTGCAAGGTAATTTCAATTAACGAGTTCGGATTCATCGGTATTCTTCTGCAATTTCCTTAAGAAACAAAAGTATTGCAATTCTTCTTCTTTTAAATAATCTTTTACGAAACCCCTTCTATTCAGATAAAATTGTATTCATACATTTATTGAAAAAATATTCTCGTTTTCAAACTTATTGCTGTAAATAACTGTTAACGTATGAAATGTTAAAACAGGTATATATATACATAAAATTTAAAAAAGTAATATGCTTATATTAAATATCGAAGTACTTAAGTATTTATATATTAAAATTTGTTTTTCAATTCACTTTTTCTGAAAGTGCATTTGATTAACTCAACTTAATATATTAATTATGTACTTTAATTTGAAATATAAATTTTTGCATGTGCCATGTATATAATTATTGGCGCCCAAATCTACACAATGCTCAAATAGCCCAATAAATGTAGAGAATCACATGTTAGTGATAAAAAAAATGTTACTGTCAGCTGGGCAACTCCAGGAACGGGCTTGCCTCCAGGACAAACAGATGGCACCGCTAAATAATTTTTGCAAGAACGCGTGGTGCACCTGCACCTCCTACAACGGCAACCTATAGCTGTTATATGCTTGACGCCTTGACGTTGGAATCGTCGGATCGTCGGGTTGTTGGGATGATGACACGCGTATGAGGTGAACTTTGAAGCCGGTCGAAATGTATACGGACATGGTGAGCACCTTGAATAAAACTGTGGGATAATGTGGAAAATAAAGTTGTGAGTACTTTGTGATTGTAAATACTTGGATAAGAGAAAGAAAGGCAAGCAAGTAGTAAGTAAGTACTAGTGAGGACGTTCGAGGTTCGAGGAGTTATTTCGCAGCAGCAGCAGCAGCAGCAGCAGCAGCAGGCACCTAGCAGAAGGTTTATGTTCTCAGCTCTGCTCGGCTGCGCCCAATTTCTCGTGTTAACCCTGTTCCTCTTATTTCTCTTCGACTTGTTTCATTGCTAGTGGTTGTTCAGTATTATCCTCAATTTCATCGCACTCGGCGGAAATTTGGTGTTGGAAAACACGCGGGAGTGAAGTGGTTGGTGGGTTTCATAGCGTTTTTATACAACTACCTAGCCGTTGAAAAAGAAATTCAAGTCATGCCGACGAGAGGTGGTACTAATGTACATATGGTACTGCCACCTCATTATCTCCATGAATTACCCGTCGAGGCTGAGGAAAGACTTTCCAAGATTTTCCAACAATTGGACATTGATGGAAATGGAAGGATCGATGTACATGATTTGGCACAGGCTCTCCATCAAGTTGGCGTTCACAAACGATACGCCGAGGTATTACCACTTTTTTAAATTTTTTATTTAATTTATTGAGCGGAGGATCAATTTAGGAATTGATAATTCATCTCTCACATAAGATGATTGGAAAATTTTCTAAAAATATCGATGGATTTAGAATCCATGTATCGCAGTGACCTCATTTTCATCGCACGCATTTGACCTTGCCTTTATTCCGCCTCTAGGCCTAACTAAATAGCTTTCACTTCTATATTATTCGGCATTTTGCAAATTTATTTATTCAATCGCCAAAAACCATAATCATGGAGAAAATCTAATAAGAGAGACATAACAGGTTTAAATTAAAGACAATGGGTTTTTCCAGTGAATTTACGGATTTATATAATAGTTATTCTATGTTCTATGTTAGGGAGTGAATAATGCTCGGAAGTCGAGATGCAGTTTTTAGTGCAGAGAAACTTTTGTTCTATACGAACGAGAAGAGATTAATGGCATTAGATTGGATAGTCATTCGTGACCTTCACACTTCTATTGTTTTGAATATTTTTTCACATTGTATTTTGTAAGGTTTCGCCGAGACTAACATTTATCGAATGACAGAGTACTTGTCAATGTCATGAGCGAAGATGAAAGATGTTCAAATTTTTATCTTTCACTTTGTAGGATTCTATTCTATTTTGTTCTGCATTTACTAGCCGTAATATTTCCTGATGGAGAATTGAAATTTTCTTTTAATTTTTCTTTACTTGTCGGGGAGATAGGAGTAAAGTGATATTTGAGGTGAAATACAAGGCCTAGATGATTTTTACTTGAAAAACAGATTGATCTAGACGTTCCAGTTTGCCCTGCGTACTCCTTCACTTTTATTTAGAAGGAAATATCTATAAAATTCAAACAATTAATTTTTATGATTTCCTGAATTTCAGAAATTTCTGCAGCAGTCGGACAGCACCAAAAGCGGTGACATAAGTTTAGCTGAATTCATTCATTACGTTATAGAACATGAAAAAAAACTTCGTCTGCAATTCACCCATCTCGATAAAAATAAAGATGGTGAGTACTGTGCTTGTCAGTTGTTTATTATATTCTCAGTCTGGCTGTGCACGTGACATGTCTGAGGCGCGTGAGAAGAAATACATGTAATGTGAGCCATGAATTATATTAGAATTTCAATGGGATTAAAAGATCAATGAAGTAGTAGAAGAGTGAGAGGACAGCGGATAACTTAATATAATTTGACTTCTTGACTTTCTCATGGTTTTCTCAAAATGATTACCTTTTTTTTTCAGGTAAAATCGATCTGGAGGAATTGATAAGTTCTTTTAATAAGGATCTGGGAATAAAAATGGATAGAGCTGAAGCCACTAAATTACTGCAGAGGTAATATAAATGGTTTATGAAAGTAATGTGATGGTGTGTAATCATCAAAAACAGTTCATTGAATGTATAATTTACATTTAATTACATTTTAATCGTAGGATGGACCGGGATGGCAGCTTAAGTATAACTTTCAATGAGTGGCGAGATTTTCTACTCTATGCACCAAGTGATGACATTCATGCACTCATCACGTATTGGCGACATTCTACGGTGAGTAAGCAATCATTAATGACTATCATGCAAAAGGCTTTGGTTGATGGAGAGTACGTCATGTGGATTTCGTCCATCATCTCTAGCATCCATTTATGCATTTGCATAATATGAAATAATTAATAGTAATTGACAATGCTCACGTTTATTTGTCTTCGGTTATTTATCGGTCATAGTTCTATGTGGACAATAAACGAAAAAACAAACTCTACTTGGACTATCGTTCGAATGTTATCAGAATAAGTATTTCGTCGTTTTTAATCTCAATTTCTGTTTGGCTTTATAAAATGCGGGGATCCCCCAAAAATATGAATGTATCGTCACCTTAACAATAAATGCTTGTAAGTTTTTTTTATACTAGAATGGCATTTTCTAACAATTTGACATTTTCAGTTGAATATTTTTCAATATACGATTTTTTACTGCGCGCAAGAGACGCAAATACTAATTCTAAGAATCAAAGTCATGCATGCCCAGCAGATATGTTCTTTGATATTTTTCTGGAATTAAAAGATAACAAAATTCCGTCATTTACATAGACACGTTCCTCTGTTATTTGTCACTGAAATTATAATAATTATCAAGGTGTATCGTGCATCTGTACTCATGACTGTTAATGTTAAGGTTTTATACCTTCTTAGTATTGACTTTCGAGATTACCAATCTGACTGATAATCATCCTTGCTATTATCAAGAATTGGTTGAGGAAAAAAATGGGTTTTGGAAAAAACTCATTGACCTTCCTCAACGATTTTAGATCAACGCCATGGAGCGGGCTGAAAATACAATTTTTTTATTTCCCTACTTTTCGTTTTGCTAAGCTTTAGTAGTACGGACGCGGCGAATAAATATGAAATCAATCGTGGAACGATGGAAAAATTCGATTTAAGAGAAAGCCCCCTTCCCCCCACGGATCAGCCCCTGGGACCGCGGTAGAATACACTTTAATTTATTTCGTGGTTTTTGGAGAAATAAATTATTGGTAAACTCCCTAGTTCATCCCATGTGCTAATTAAGACAAAAAAAAATTTGCAAAATCGAGCGGTCTTTTATCCTTGACAAGTTATAACCAAAACTAAAGATCATTTTTCATAGGGAAGATCAAAACTATATTCTCAGAGAAGGGAGGAATTCTCGGTTAGTTCAAAAGACAGGGTAGGGTCAAAAAACGTATTAAAATAGGGTGTAAGTTTGAATAAGTTAATCGTCTCAACCTTCAAAACGAATCAAATACCCTTAATTAGTATGACAAAGTGTTCTGCAATGCCGCATTCCGACGTGTAGCTCGTGAACATAAAGATAATATCGAGCACAATCTCACAAATGATAAGTCAATGGCATAACCAAACATTTAAAATTGCACTGAGCCAACTAATAGTTTCGTATTCGTCGAAGTCGAGGGCTCGTCCGATAACCAAAGTGATGCTTTACTCACTTCTCTCCCTCTCTCTCTCTCTCTGTTAAACATTTTTTTTTTATTCTTGCTCGTTAAACGGCTTTCCACCACCAATTGAAGAATTTACATATTTGAGTTGAATTGTTGAATTGTTAAATTGTTAAATTGTTAAATTGTTGAATTGTTGAATTGTTGAATAATCACGTGCCTCTTTCTGAAGTGACCTTGATATCCAGCTGTTCTCTTTTGAATAGCAGCTGTTATATGGCTATCGTTCTCCCTGCATACGATGAAGCATGCGCACTGCTCAAGCGCACTGACTCTGATTTTCCCGAAATCAGTAGAACGTTCGTTATCCAATTCTTTCCATAATTTGTGAACTTCTGAATGATCCCTCAGAACTCGGTAATAAATACCTTATCATGCCTGAGGATAAGTTTAATATCATTTCATGGATCAAATCAATATTGGAAAAGCAAGTAAGAGGCCCCTCAGAATATATCACCTACAATTGATCAAATTGCATCAGGCTATTATGTCACTCCCACTAAATCTTTTTGCTTTCCTATGAATTTTGGATAATTCCCTAGATAATAGAGGTTTTAATTAGTTGTAGAATAGCAATGGAAAGTGGCAATCGATCCTGCTGCAGCAACTAAGCATGTCTATTAGTTTTTTTTTAGTTGTTTACGAATATTGTTTTCTATTCTTTTATGGTTGAAAAAATTTCGAATAACGCTTTCTATTAAAATGTGTAGATCAAGCACATGGTGCAATGAAAGTAGGACAAGTAACAAATGTCTTTGTCACTAAATTTTCCGACAATGTGACAAACTTTGCATGCTATCTTTGCAGATATCTCTCAACTTCCCTGAATTTTGATTTTCACACTTGATAAATTAGCAACGGTCAATGCAATCAATTGTCAAATTACTCGTCACTATTTCTGTGACAATTCTAACGATTTCGATACCCAGGTCTGCAGAACGACGCTTATAAAACTAATTCTAAACTAATTATCCTGATCAGGAAAAACAGAACAAAAAAAGGAAAAGGAATATAAAACGGTTTATCAATGCACATGTCTGAAAGGTTTGTTAATCTTTCTTTATCATCCGTCTACTGTCGAGTGCTGTCATTGAATAATCTGAAATTTATCAGCCAGACAGTCGCTGTAAGTAACCTGAGAAAAAAAGGGTAAAAAAATGGCAGATGGCATTCAACTATTCTATTAATTTTATTATTCGTTGGACGGTCAGTGAATGAAGCGATTTTCTCAATATGAATTTCAACTGTTGAGGTCAAGCACTGATTGTCGGGAGCATTTAATGACCCTCGGACTATCACGGTTTTAACCAAATCCATCCAGTCTGATCAGATTCACAGTGGTTTTAAGGCACAGCCCTGTTCGTCATCATAAAGCCTGCACCAAAATCAACTACTGGAAAAATGCAAACTTTTATCCAGTAAATTATTTAAACTTGGAGTATCTTATTTTAATGCTTATTAATTTTAATATTACGACGGGTGTGTGATGAAAAACATGTGGGGTCTTTCTGTTATCATTTCTGATATGATTGCGCACATTGAGAGACTCAGCAGAGGCAAAGTTTCATTGAAGAAAAAAAAGCCGGATAAAGTACAGTCGGACGTTGGACATACTAGAACACCAGGAAAATATTCAATTATCAATTAATGTTGTCCAAATTCAAAAGTTCTCATGCTTTTTGGTCAAGCAAACTGTTCAGTTTCATGTCATCATGTCATTATATCATCATGTATCAATATATGAATATATGAGTATATGTGTATTTGTGGAGTAAGTCGTAGGCTTGGTGGAAGCAGAGAATATCCCCCTTAGAAATTGAAAGAAAAGTTTTTGCGGAATTGTCAATCATACCTTGCACTTCAACTCTTGATGAATATCGAAATATTATCAAAAAGTGAGGAACCTTCAAATTTAAACATTGAATTTCAAATGTAGATGATGATGATAGGAATTATTGTGAGGATCCTAGATTCATATCAGCTATGTCAGTGAAGCAATTTTTTTATCTCATCGGCATTTATACAGGTTGGGTTATCTTTCTTTTATATCTCGATTTAATCCCTAAGTAAACAAAATGAAATATTAAAAATCATGACATTTATTTCCGTGAAATCTGTTTATATTTAAGATGTTTTAATTGCTCAATCAACTGTTATTCCTTTAGTGTCTAAATATTTTTTTTGGAAATGAAGTCTTCTTTTAATAATTTCCTCGTATACAAAAAGTCCTCTTTGACGAGTTTTTATATTTTCATTGGGAAAGTAGGATTTGCCATTTTATTACTTGAGGATTATCCGTAGATTATTAGGGGAACATTAATTATTAGAGAAAATCCCCTTCAGGAAGTGGAAGTTGTGGTGCACAGTGGAGAGTCTTTCGAGGCGATTTGTTACTTAGAAAACTTATAGATAGTGTTATTAATTTGAAAAACTCATAAATCAAAACTTTTTTACTTTGTATTTCGTGAGTTGTGTGCAAGATCATTTCAACTTGAAACATCCAGTCAATTTACTGAGAGCTGGAACTGTTGAGAAGTTTCGCATTAGATTGCGTCAATTGCTAGCACGTCAAAATACGCAACTGCATTGAGGATGTTTGTTTATTCGAAGCAGGTTAACGTTGTCAATATAACAAATTTTATTTATCCATGAAACTAAATCCTACTGACCAATTTGTTTAAATTTCCCCTATTGAGAATATTAGGTAGTTTACCCATTAGAAATTTTTCATTCGTAGTAATATGGGAAATTTTTATTCCACTGAACTTGTTTATATATGAAGGAATATTCCAACAAAATGTCAAATATCTGTATCAGAGCTGAATTAATTTTGAAGGATTTAAAAAAAAATCTTACTCGTCACTAGAATAAAGAACTATTAAAACATTAGAATAAACCAAGAGCTCGAGATATGTGACGACAATTAAAAACGTACACCAATATAAATCATACACAAGTATTTATTAAACAATCGAAAGTTAAATCAAAGCAGAGTTTTGAGAATTAATTTAATAAAATTAACGTATCGCTCGAGGTTTAGTGTAATGTAACCAATTCGTTAAAGTCACGAAGTTCATTCTATCACTCTGGAAATGTTTTGACGAGGGCAGATTAATGAAAAACTGTTTATTGAGGTGGCGAGACATTTCATTTCATTGATAGTGTTTATTGATTTTATTATGTAAATCAAGTAAAAATGCACAGATTTTTTTTATAAGAAAGAGAATTTTATTTATACGATTGCTATCAACCGACACACATTTGAACGAATAATCCTTATTTACAAAATATTCAATTTGCATATATTTCCCCCTTAAAATATGCCATTTTCTAGTTAATTCCTCATTAAATTAAACAAATTATCATTACTCTTTCTCCAGTGACCGCAAATTCCCAACTCGTCGTTTTTCAATATAAATACATTCGAAGTGAAAAAACGTCAATTTTCAACAAGTAGAATACTTTACTGGCCAATACAGCCCTGAAAAACCAGAAAAATATTGTAAATTCAGACAATAATATTCTTAACTATTATTTTCGCTCAAATATCAACCAATAGGATGGCACGAGTTGATTAATCTACTCGCTTTATATTAATTTTTATATTTTTTCAATAATTTTCTCTCCTACCTACATCTGGGACTTAAAGAACAGTACTTAAAGTGAGTTAATCGCTCGTTAAAATTGACAGTATTAATAAAATACTGATAAAATAAGAGAACTAAATTGCCTCGTGTTTTTCAAAGCTCTGTCTCTGCCATTTTTAAAATATGAAGCTTGTCTAATGATGCAATTCTATCGGTTGAAATGTGCACGAATGACTAATAAGTTATCATATCCCAAGACCTTCAAAATTATTATATATTTGGCGAATAGTTTGTTGACAAATGAGCTTCAAGCTTGAAAGGGTATTTAACTGAAAATATGTATATGTTCGTCTCGACGAATGCGTGAGGTCTCGTACTGAGTGAGAGTGACGTGCGAGTGACGTTGAGAGACTTGGTGGGGATTTCTCCCAGTGATGATCCATCGTTTGAATTTCCAACTGGCGTTAACCGATCACTTGAATTTTTCGTAGTCTCAGTCTCAAACTCGGTAGACTCGGTATCACACGCTTTTTCATTCACTTGACAGCTATTCAGACAATCCCTCAATTATCAGAAATTAAAATGACCAGTGGTGTAATGTTACATTCAACGAGATTATTGGAGCAGAAAAATCTTGGCAATGGGTGTCAAGTTTGTGGAGAGTTTCTCCAGAGATACCATGAACTACTTCAAAGGGTATGTCGATATTTCATAGTGAAAGTGCAATCGACTTATATCCATCCAGAATGGATTTTTTTTTACGAAACAGAATGAACATCGAGAAATATATTTTTTTCACGCGATAAAGAGGTTCCAATAATGCCGACTATTTTATCTATCTCGATAACTCAATGAAATATCTACGATATTATCAGTGATTATTTGTCATTATTTTTACCAGTCTAATTTTGGTGAATCAGAGCTCAGTATTTCATATTTCCGACAAGTTTAGCTGTTCCATATTTTTCAGTAGGTCTTTCCTTCTAATTTTTCCCCATTGTCGCCATTGCCGGTAGAATTGGATATTGGACAGTGTAAAAAAGATAGCAGTTCTAAAAACTAAAGGGGGATATAGCTGAAGCTCCCTTGCAAACAAATAACAGTGCCAAGTTTTGAATGTATGCATTGAATTTTGATAGAAGATTAAATATTCGATTTTTCTGGAAGGATTCGCTTAAGAAAAAACAGAGAACAGAGTTATCAGTCAATTTGTTCCGGAGTGAGTGTTTATGGTGAAATTTGAATAGTCTAGTTTAGGAGTAAGTTGGTTGAGATTGGAGCTTTCGAGTTGCCAAAAATAGTGTCGGAGGTGATACAGTGATGCAGTGATGCTACGTAGACGATGAGTCACGATGGAGCTTAAACTTCCCGCCGAGTTTACCGTAATGCATGTAGTTGTGAGATTAATCGAATGTATACGTCATTGCGACAAGTTTCGAGAAATGAGATAATTTTTTCGAGATATGTATACTCTGAAAAATAAAATTCAAGCTGAACACGTCAGTGCTTCCTACTATCTGCGAACAATAATTACTTTTTTTTCAAGTCAATATACTAACAACAGAGATTTCAAATACAAATATTTATACACATTTACTTGTGCTAAATTGTCTTAAATTTACTTGGGAGAATTGATTTTTTTATGTAGTGTATCTCACCAATAATGAAAGATAGGGCACTGTTTTTGAAAACATCAATGATCTTTTCTCTTAATTTTCTTTTTCTTATAAAAAAAAACTAATAAATTCTGGAAAATTGCTATTTCTGTAGTATAATTCCTATAAATAAAAATTTTAACAAGTCTCTCAACGTTCATCGCATATTTTTTTTTTATTTTATTTTAAGCATTTTGTACCGTAGTCACGCTCACATTAAAAATCGAGCGAATTAACGAAGTAGTAAAAAAGCGAAATAAGTTAGCCAAATATCTCAAAGTTTGAGAATTAACTTCATCGACAAATAAGCTTTCGTGAGACCATTCTCGTTTTTATCATATATTTTTCCATTTATAGTTGTTTATAAATGATTCTATCTGCCATTTTGAAAAACGGATTGCACCTGTGTATATTTATGATAAATTCTCTCGAATTGTCTCGATAAGAATTTTCAAGATATTTTGCTCTTCAGTCATTCCAATTTCTATTATTCTACATAAATCGTAGAGAGTAGCAGGCCTAACACAATTCATAAAATATTTTTTTTTTAATAATTCAAATTTTCAAAAACTTCAAAGTTTTTATACTATTGAAAAAGTGGTTTTAAAACTAAAATCAATGCCACTTGAAAAAAAAGTTGTCAATCATTACATTAGTCTGTCGATTATTAGAGAATCGTAAATTTAATACTTTGAGTTTTTAATTTATCATGACTTCTCAAATGGTGAATTAAGAGGTGAATTAGTAAAAAAAAATGCGTGGAATTTTTTGAGTTTCTCGAAAGATAGAAAGTATCCCAGATTGTGACGGTTGTCCAATTGGAGGTAGGCCCATTGCAAGAATGGAAACGTGAAAGCCAAGTTGGCATTGGATGCGTTACGAGGGAATTAAATATTTTTGCTACTGACATTGGGCAACTAGTCAAAAATTGCGAGGGTCCGCCCTGGCTACATGCCCAACCCACTCCATTCGTTCCCAGCTAATGCGTTAGAAGGATCACCTTTAGCATCCCTATTTAGTTTTAATTGTCACAATTAACAATCTAGAGTGATTTTTTTTCTCGTCATGGATACGCTCGATAGCATTGATAGTGACTTGATGATGGAGATATGGGTGAAGTTAAGTATTAAGTCTTTTGAAAAATCGTTGAACCACTCTAGATTATAACGGTGGTATGAGGAAACCATATAGCCGGAAAATTGACATTTGCTACCATTACATTTCGAAAAACTATTCCAAAAACGCAACTATTGTAGAACGGGAATCATCCACATTTGTGTGACAGATGGACATTTACAATAATTCATCACAAGGTTCTTGGATTAATCATTTTAGAATGCACAAAAAGAAGCACTGACCAGGCCTCTTAATTGCTGTTGGTATTGGCGATTTTGGCTTCCTCTTTCTCTTTCTCTCTCCCAGAGTTTGGCACATACACATATTAAATTTATACGTTATTGTTTGCTTTCGTTATTACCTATGTCTCTCCAAGTGTCACTGAAAGCGATTGTTGTAATAGGTTCTGTAGACAAATAAATGACATCCTCGGAGTGTTCACCAGAATTTTCCATTCCCTACAGCTCTAAAATCCTATTTTTTCATTCTTCCGTGTAGAAAAATATTTCGTTTTATCTTGAAAAATTAAATTTAAGTCACCGTGGAAGTGGTCAGCTTATTTGCTTGCAAAAACTTCCAATATGATGATGAAAATATTGAAATGTTTTGTAGAACAAGTAGAACTCTTGAGAACACAATAGACAAATTGAACTTCAGTAAATGCGCAGAAGTCTGAGATGGTAAGCATGACACGCATTTGGAACAATGTCCACACGTGGTAATAATTATTGTGTCAAGCTATTCGAGAAAGAGAATCGATTCATTTGATCGTGCTTGAGAATGCAATTGTCAGTAATAAATCGGTATAATTTTCTAGTATCTTCTAGAGATATATTATTCGGCGTAGAATGTAAGGGACGATATGTCATGTGGCGAGAGGACTTTGAAACAAGTTGCATTTGAGCGTGGGGAAATAACTTCTATTATTAATTGTGACATGTAAAAGTGACATAAAAAAGCGAAATATAAATCATGATCGTCTGATTTATTCGGCCTACACTTGTACAATAGATAAAAAAAGGAAAATTCTCGTTGGCCTTGATTACCATATATTCGCGTGATAATTTCTCAATTCTACAAGAATGAATATTAATTATTTATGTATATTTTTACAATTATTACATTTAGATGAAAAGACTCAAGGATTATTTGAGGAAATAAACGGCCTTGTTTAAGAAAAATGTTTCATGTTCATGAAATTAATTGTTTTAATTGTTAATTTTGTTGTTTGCAGTACATGGACATTGGGGAGGATATGGGCGTTCCTGATGACTTTACAAGCAGTGAAATGATGTCAGGAATGTGGTGGAGACACTTATTAGCTGGTGGAATTGCTGGCGCTGTTTCACGTACGTGTACAGCTCCTTTAGACAGAATAAAAGTATATCTTCAGGTAAGGTTTCCATTAAAAAACACTAAATTGAGATCAAGACTGTAGAAGTGATTTTTGAAGGATATTTGAATTTTGTTCTTCAGGTCCATGGAACAAAACACTGCAATATAAGGAGTTGTCTGAAGTACATGCTAAGGGAGGGTGGCATTTATAGTTTATGGCGAGGAAATGGAATCAATGTACTTAAAATTGGACCGGAAACCGCCCTAAAATTTGCAGCATATGAAAAGATTAAGAGATTCATCAAGGGAAACGACTCCAGGGAATTAGGTATTGATGAGCGATTTATTGCTGGATCAGCAGCTGGGGGTATCAGTCAATCTGCTATTTATCCCTTGGAGGTAAATATACATGTGTCTTGTGTACAATCGCTCATAAAACTCTGAACTATGATTATTCATTTATCGGGACAAAAATCATATGAAAATAATGTTTAATTTTCATAAATTTTTAAACAATTTTTCTGTTGTAAGTTTAGTAATTAGATAATTAATGAAAGATTTTGCACTTGTATGTTCTAGGTGCTAAAAACGCGATTTGCATTAAGAAAGACAGGTGAATTCAACGGGATCGTAGATGCAGCCCAGAAGATATATGCTCAGGGTGGTCTTAAAAATTTTTATCGAGGATACATACCCAACCTAATTGGCATCCTCCCCTATGCTGGAATTGATTTAGCTGTTTATGAGGTAAAAATCTAACATACTTGCAATCATTATATATATATACACACCACATTGTTTTGCAACTTCATTGATGGCAATAATTATTTTCTATTCATATGATATCCTTGTTGCAGACATTAAAAAATAGGTATTTACGATCACACAGTAAAAACGAACAACCGGCATTTTGGGTTCTCCTTCTGTGTGGTACTGCCTCGAGTACGGCAGGACAGGTGTGCTCTTATCCACTCGCTCTAGTCAGAACAAGATTGCAGGCTGAAGTATCTAATACACATTCGAGAACTATGATTGGGGTCTTCCAAGACATCTTACAGACAGAAGGTTTCCGGGGATTATATCGAGGCTTAACGCCCAATTTCCTCAAGGTAATTATCTTCAATCGGATCACCCGAAAGTTCAACAACATTATAAAGATTATTCAGAAAATATCGTAGAAGCTACTTTTGAGGTGAATCGCTATGAAATTTTGGCAAAACAGTCAAAACCCTATTACACGTAATAATTTTGAGAAAAAAATGTGTCAATTTATATCTGTAAAGCTTAACCACTCAAAAATATTTAATGCATCATCTACAAATTCGTTTTTAACTTAACGCTTCCTCAACTTTTTCTTTTGATTTTGATTTATTTCCTATTTTGATTTTATGCTTGAAGACTATTAACTTTTGTGATAACTTCTGATGATTTTATAATCTTCAATTATTAAAATTATTATGGAAGAAAATATCAACTTGGCTCTGTTGTGCTGATTGTGTAAAAGAAAGTCTATATGAAATCTTATTCATCTTATATTCTATAGATACAATTGTAACAAACGAATCTCAATAAAAAACAAATCACTTTCAACACACTTGGTGGAAAGTGACGTTTTACTTCCTACACATTGTCATGAAAAGTACAGTTGCTCCGCAAGTGCGGGAGCGTGTTTTTTGGACTCTTGGGATTATATCACTCGCCTTTGGCACGTGTCAAAGATCGTATAGATAAACACTAATCTCATATTCACTCAGATACAATGCGTTGATAATTCATGATGGTTCTCCCCTGAATTATCTGAATGTTTTTTTTTCGTAGGTCGCCCCAGCTGTATCAATAAGCTACGTGGTCTACGAACATTTCAGACAGGCTCTTGGTGTTAACATGACGTGATGAAGATCTTTCCTAGGAACAATGAATTTTTTAATTAAATTATTATCAGCTCTAAGTTATTGAACTAATGGAGGCAAAGAAACAGAAGCTGGGGAGAGAGTGGCGGATCTAGTGCCAATCGGAAAAAAATCCTAATCGTTTGCACTGCTTCACAATTTGTCTCATTGATCTAACGACTAGTTCTTCTAAAGTTCAACGCTTCAAGTGAGATGAATCATCACTGGCAGTTTATGCTCAAAAATCATTTCTAATAGAAAAAATCATTGTAATTACAAACTCCAGAATGGTGTGGCCTATGCACGTATTATGTTTGAGATTGGATGATCAGTGTTAATGTACACGTTTGTGCTCAGTTTGAAAACATTTTAAATTATAAAAACATTAAAAATAATTAGGAATAAAGCGATCAGCTAAACTCAATTCAAAGGTTTTAAGCCACTGAAGCATAAGAAGCCCCTGGCCGTAAAGCGATTAAAGACAAAAGAAAGTAAATCCTTAGATTTGTTTTGGATTTTTTCCATCATTGGCATTGACATAATCAATGATATTCAATTGATATGTTCAAAGTTATACTTACACTGTGATAAGTATACTGATAAGGATTTCAGAAATCATGAAAGAGAGTAAAAGATTTAATGCTCGATATGGGTTATGATTTTTTAGAAATTTCTTCCCGCAGATAATGATTGAAAATTATTTAGAACAACATCTACAAAGGAAAAAAATCTAACAATGAGAAATAAAATCTTCAGGAAAAAAGGTTGAAACAATGTCAATGTCGTGTAGAAGTAAAGGCATAACTCGGGAAATTCATAATAGGACAACAGAAAATTTATTTTTTTCATTACACATCTTCGGACATTCTGTTAGTGCCTTTTAAATTGCAAGAATTGCAAGATAGAGCTCCTTGATTCATTCCCTAACGTATGCCTTTAGTTCTAGGACATGCAATATTTTTAATTCTACATTCTCTTAATCTGTGAATTCATCTTGATAATACGAGGTTTTGAGAAGAAATATAGAAAAAGGCTCTTGTTGGAACATCTAATAGCATCCATAGATGTCTTCTGCCACTTTTTCTTCGCAACACACCACTTCTCGACACAATCTCGACATAATCATATTATTAACAAAATATGGTCTATTAACTCGTTATGATTCACTAATCTGCTCCAAAAATCATTCTTCAAATCCTAGAATATACAATAAAAAATTAAATGCCTCGTTATTGCATTAACCATCTTTGGAATCTAAGTATTGAAAAAAAATGTGCATCTAAAGTATCATTCCCAGCGTGAATAACATCACGTATGACTCAAATACCAGAGGCGTCTCTCAAAGCATATTTAAAGAAATAACTAAGGCATATATAGCTCAGATTTTGTTTCTCCAACTGTCTTACTTAATTTTTTATGCTCTTCTCCCTCGAGGATTAATGCCCAATTAACATTGAGATGCTTTTACAATTGGTACGGATTTTTCTATTGACGAAAAAACTGTATGGGACTGATAGTACATGACTTTAAAAACAAGCAATCGTAATGAATAATTTTTTCTCCTTTTTAGTTGAATTTTTTTTATTGCTCCACCATGTACATTCTATGTAAAGTTTTTCTGTAAGAATAAACCTTATTTATTGACGACCATTATTATATTAAAAAAGTGGAAGAAAGGAACCCGCTCCCTGAAATGTAAGAGAATTTTTCATTATCTCGATGTATAGTTCATTAATTCATTAATTTACCCGCTACTAATTATCAAAACCTACAACATTATTCCAAAAAAAAAATACAAAAAAATATAACTCTACTGCATTCATAAAATTTTCAATGAAGTATTATTTGATATAGAAGCAGTATCTGTACATCTATGATTGCTCCTAATTGCATTGAATTCCAGTAGTGACGCACTAAAAACATCTTTTATTCCATTATGATTATTAGATTGAATTCCATTATAATTATTATTGTCTCTAGTTTTTAATGAAAATCTCCTAATTTGAAAGACATGGCGAAATATATAGAATAGTTCTTTTTGCCGATATCAATGACTTCCACGAAAAAAATTTTACTGAAAATTTCATAATGTCTCAACTTCGGAAATATCTTTGAAAAATTTATTGTTTCACTACTGGCATTCAACATCCAAATATCCGCAAAAAATCAACTAAATTAAAAGCTGTGCAACTTTAAGAAAAATCAAAGCTTATAAAACTAGACTGATAATAAAAAGTCGACAAAAAATATGTTAGTGTACTGTTATAAACTACTGCAAAAACTCTTGTACATCGAACTGTCCATATTCTCAATCGGAAATATATTTCAAATATCACAGTCTCTATGTCTAATTATTTACTTCCATTGAATAGTAAGGAAAATTCTTTTGTCATTTTCAATTTTCTGTTCTGCTAAACGGAAAGAAAGGAATTCACTCAAGGGTTACTCGCTCGACATCTAATAAATTACGAAATCATCATTCTAAAAAATAAGTGATTGGTGTCATACAGAAAAAAGGTAAAAGGATGAGTAATGGATCAATATAAACCAGGAACATAATATTACTCAACATATATTTAATATCGTAACAAAATTTTTACTAATTTTATGTATCACAAATATTAGCAAATTAGCATGTACATGCATCTTGACGTTTACAATAGAAGGTTTTTCCATTTTGAATCATTTACCTGAATGATACGTCTCATATACACAATTTCATTGAGAGAGTGATAAAAAACGTGAAGTTATAGACTGCGTTAAGAATGTCGTTGCTTATGGAATAAGAATTGAGTGTAAATATAAAATGAAATATAAAAAAACAGCCACGGTTTATCCTGTTTCAGTTATGCCACTTGCTGCTTCCTCGTCTAAAATCCAGTAGAGATTGCCGTTCGTTGGTTGAACCCGACCAGCGGGAAGTTTCTCTTTGTCCTTTAATATGCGCTAAGATAGAAGAAATTTTAATAGATTATTCAATGGAGTGATAAAACACCAATTTTCTTAATTAAGCTTTTTACTATAACTCCTACTCGATCTGTTATGAAATTATACGGGATTTCTCTAAAACTTCCCGTACAAAGTCCTATTAATGTTTCGTGGATTCGAATATCAAATTTTCTAGATTTCATATAATTGTATTGTTAAAGACATATAGATTAATCCAGAAGACAACTTTTGTAACTTGAATGAAAAATACGAATAATCCAAAAGGGATAGGTTAAAAGAATAGTGTTAAGGCCCGGGTGGACTACCTATAGAACGTCATCTTTTGTTTAAATTTTATCTTTCTAGCCTAAAATACATAAAAATTTGGGATAAGTTTTGAGGTCACGAAAATCACTGGATTTGGCATGAAAAAATAATGAAAAAAAAGAGGAAAAAATTTTGAAGGGCGCT